GAGAGACATCACTCAAGATTCTTTTGACTGGAATGAACTAAATCCTGGCTTTTAACCCAACATCAAATTAACAAGCTGATATTATCAGCTTCACTGTTCTGCTTACTAATAATTTTAAATTACAATCTAATTTGATGGAGACTCAGCCAAATTATATTTCTTCAAGATGCAAGAAAATCTGAAGCCAGGAAGTTGAAAAATACAAAACTTGTGCCCACAGAAAGAAACAGATAGGAACAATTTAATATTTCCAAAGGCAAGTAAGAAATCCCTGTGTGAGGGAGCAGCCAGTTACACCTCATCAGTATGAGAAAAGCTCAGATCAAAGCCAGTTCTGCCTTTTGCCTTGTCCGACATGTAGGCAACAGGGGAGGAAGCAAATATCTTGTGGAGGAGCAATCCACAAAAGCCAGAAGAGCAACTGGGATTTTTGCAGTGGCAGTCTGTCAGGGATACAGGACATAAATCTGAAGTTTTTCCTCTGTAGCACAATTTATCGGGGACATTAATAAAATTATTCCAAGATGAAGGCGAGGTCAGTAAACGACTCCTTATCATGAGTTTCCATCAGTTGTTCAATGCTTCCGAGTGTACTATAATGTCATATATTAAATCCATGTCTCCATATAAACAACATATCATACAAAAGTCTTACAGCACTGCAATTGAAAAACTATGATTAATTTTCATTGTATTTTGAAAGTAGTTTCTATACCTAAAATTAATTGGCTTATTTAAAACACACTGTAGCACTCTTATCAATAGAAAGAGTAAACCTGGTATAAATCAGGTTTCCATTTTGCAGATGGATTGGCTCAGATTCTATGCAACAGATTTGTAGTTCAAGAAGTCAGTGACTCCTGAGTGAGGAACTTCTTGTACTGTGAGCAGAATTTAACCCAATAGCAAATCTTAATGAAAGTATTTTCCTAATTTTATAAAGCAAGCTAAAAGCCTAGAAAAACTTAGATAATCAGGATTTAATCAAAAGCTCGCCCCTAGGTCTCCCTTCAGACCTGTGCTGTGCAGGATTCCAAACTCAGTTTTGGGATTGCTAACTTCTCAGGGTGGGGTCAGGTCATGTCACCAGTCAGCCTCCTCACTACCTACCAGGCATCTTCTGAACCAAAGAGTCACTTGAACTGAGCTGTACTAAGAGACCAAAAAGGCTCTTTGCTCACAGCTTTCTACAGCTGTGCCAAAGGCTATCAGCAATTCCAGCTGCAGACTCACACCTCAGAACTGCTCATTCTGCTCTTCTGCCTTGTCCTTGGTTTCCATGAAGTGACTATGAAGGATTTTCAGCCTTTACAGCCTCTTGGCTTAATGCACTGGGCTTTGAAGTGATCTCTGGTTCTCACTTCAAATGCTGCTGCCACTGCTAGATCAAACTTAGTGAAAGCATAGCACAGTAATTTGTGTTACAGTCAAGTAAAAACATGAATTGCCACATCATGTTCTTGGTATGCACAGCATGGTTTGAAACCCAGATCAGATGGCACAAGATCACCCCGTTCTAGTCCTGCATTTGCCTTCTGCATCTTACAGCTGCGACTTTCACACAGCCTGGCAGTTTGCTTTGCCTCAGCTCCCTCTTAAATTAGGCAGAAATATTCCAGTAATGGATGTCTGAAGGTCTCTTACAACCACATTGTAGTAAAAATAGATAAGGGAAAGAGAATTTCCTGTTCCAAGTAGAATTTACGTAAACCATTATTAATTCATTACTTGGTATTCACAAAAATTCTTTCAACTTAGAATGACCACTATTAAAAAAATGTTGTAACTTCATTACTGAGGACACAGAAATGGAAAAAAAAACCACAACAGACATGCTTAAACTCTCTCAAACCTTTTCATTTGGAAAGGTCAATCCATACTTCCTTTGGCTGTACAGGATGGAAAATGCTGCTGGCCATGTTTTCCCTGTGGTATTCTTCTCTGGTAGTTCTAGTTCAAAGTCATACAAGGGAGAAGGACAGCAGGAAGCCAAGAATGTCACCAGTCCAGTGCTGTCAAGATGAGTTCCACTTCCCCAAACATAGTGAAGTGCAGGCTTGGCAGTTAGGGGAGTGAGAATAATTCCTAGAGCTTCTACATTTCCAGTCCAAAATGGAACAAAATTTGGTCATGTAGGTCAGTCACTCACTGGGTGTCTGGTGAGGCTGTGTCACAGTTTAACCCCAGTAGGCAGCTAAAGAGCTCCTAGCCACAGGTCCTTTAACACCAACTATTTAATTTCTGCTAGGTCTTCCCTAGCTTTTGCCAAGATTGATATTTATTATCTCAGACATGTTAGAACACAGCCTTCATACAGCCACATGTCACCTGAAACTTGAAGGAAATCTTCAGCAGTATCTTACTACAAACAAATGTCAGGACTAGAGAACTAGCTGAAAATTCGTAAATGGGCAAACTGATGTCTAATTAAATTACCACAAGCTTTTAAAGAAAGAAAATAGTTGCTATCCTACATGCACATCACCCTAGACTCTAATTACAGACAGCCTTTTGATGACAGGAAACAGAGTTTATATTCTCCTGCTGCAGTGCTCTGTGCCATTGGGAAGGGCATTACAATCCAGAATAGAGTGATGAAAACCAGGTGGGCCTAAAAAGATAGAATTTTTGTTCAAAATGCATATGCATTATCCTCTGTGACTGGTTGACTCTACCCTCAAGTACAGACTACAAAAAATTAAAGGCACAAATTTCTGATTTTTCTGTATCCAGAGTTCCAGTTAGTTTCTGGAATATTAATAGAACAGTGGTGTACACCACAAATATTTCCCAGGGAAAAGAAATCCCATACCACAAAAAACCCTTAAACACATAAGATCAAACAAATGAGTCATTTAAGGAAAAAAAGCCAGACATTGCAATTGACCCCAACTAAGCACATGCATCCAAAAAAAAAAAAAAAAATCAGTGAGCAGGAGATTCTTAAAGGAAATCCCAAAATAGTAGCAAAAGAGATGCCAAATCAAGGCACAGAAACAAATTAAAATCTCCCATCACGTTGTCAGGCAATAAATATACAATTAAGGCACACTAGTGTTTACAAAGACTGTGGCAAGGTCTTTTTTAGACATCAATTTTTCTTCCTAATGTTTCCCTTTCACTGCTAAATAATTTCATTCAGAGGACAGTTGTTCAAATGTAGCTTGCACATCATAAATCTTTAAAAGCCTACAGTCTCTCTATTATATTTACTTTCTCTTCTCTACACAAAAAAAAGGATTGATCAAAACATACCCACAACACTACTTACACTTTAGTTGATTATTATATCTGATTTATTTCTGAGCAACTAATGTAAAATTTCATTCAAATAGCTTTTCCTTACAAATGTATTTCCTAAATATAAACAGAAAGAATTTTCCCATGCAGGTGTGTATCCATATGCAACTTAGAAAGCCATGAAGGCAAGACATTCTTCTTCTCAATATTTCTATTCTTTCATCATACTAACACAAATCACAAACATCAAGAAAAAAACCCCATTAATTTAGGAGTAAATAGTTCATTCCTGGTGTACAGTTTCAGAGGGGAAAAAAAGGTAGCTAAAATATAACTCGTTGAAATAGCAGTAGCATTGCTAAATCACACAGCTGTGGTGGTAATGATGAGACTGCTTTCTGAAATGGAAACACACAGACAACTGAGGTAACCTGTTGCTCCCTAACTTACACTTATTTTAGAGGGCATTTGCAGAGTACTACATTTCTCCTTTAGAGTTTTGGTTGGTTTTGGCTCTGCTAGCAAAAAAATAAATAAATTTGTATCTAAAAAAGGGCAGCAGATACTAAAAGAAGGTATATGCCTGTAGGACAGAAGCAGGTCTCATTGCAAATAACATTTAATCATCTTCCTGTTTTCTGAAAATTGAAGGGTATCCCAGCTCAGCAGTGCTCCTACCCATTTGCTCTTGTCTGCTATACATACAATCATATAACTTCACTGTGATCCATATAATCTTTCTATTTACACATTTTTAGCAGGATACTCTGTCTGGGATGCAGTAAAAACTTCAGCAATGCACATTTTGCAAAGCTATGACTGGTGAACGGAGAGAAGGTGTCATGCTGCTTTTGGTGTTGAATTACACAAAACCAAATCTGGCTCGTCAACCCCAAAGTTAAACATCTTGATAGTGAGGTGAAAGTGTGGCAGATATTGTAAAGTACCTTTATGTAAAGATGCTGAGCTGACACAGCTGACCTGGTGACATATGACTGACAGTGAACCACTTTATGCTATAAAAGTACCATTTATATATATACTATGAAAGTGCCACTTTCAAATGGTAGGGATTTCTAGCATAGTCCTTCATGGAGTGTGTGTGGAGATTTCTCCCTTGGGTGGGGATGCTTCTTAAGGTCACCTAAAGATGTTTGCCCACAGTCATTGGCATGGGTGAGAAACATTGATCTCTACTCAATAATTGTTTCTTTTTTGATATCTTTAATATCATTGTTTTGATATAATACATTATCATATACTATACTAGTAGTGTTAGCTTCTATACCATGTAGTAAGTAATTCTGATTAAGATCTGTTTTGTCTAATCATTTATCATAATAAATAATTCATTTTTATGCATCTGGCTTGCCAGCCTTAATTCTGCATGACAAAATTGTACAAAGGTTCAATCACATGTGTATAATTCCTTAGACTCAAACCACTGACCAAGTCTGAGGCCAAGATTGGATTCAACCACACCTAAACTCTGTGAGGTGTTTAGAAAGCCAGAGGTCATTCTGCACCTTGTGACTCAATGGGAAGGCTTCTCTAATAAACTTTGAAGCTCCCATTCCACCCACAACATCATCACATACTCCATTATCTCATGTCTTTTCAGAAACAGTTTCTGGAAATGCAGAGCTATGATTGTTGTCAAACACTTTATTTTTCTACTTTTTTTTTTTAATTTAAAAGTGAAAAAAACCAAGAAAATCCCATACAACGCAGAAAGAGGTTTTAAAAATATCCAGGGTTATTTGTAAGTCTCTTTTTCATTTTAAGTGTTTCCTCATCTTTTCCTCAAAGAACAGAACATTTGGCAACATTTTAGTTACACTGCCGATAGAAGTAGAAGTAATAATCAGTAAAAAACATTCCAGCAAAGTAACGGTCTGTTGAGCAGCTAGCAAAACCCTGCAAAAGAAAAAACAAAGGAGATTGATACAGGAACTTCTTCGAGTTCAAATGCTATTTGTGTTTTGCTGAGCTGTCACTTGGAAAGGCTTACCGGCACGGCTACGCGGAACGAGTACGCGCTGTCGTACAGCTGAGCTACCGGGAGAGCCCAAATGTGCTGGCGTCCCTGGGGACAGATGGGAGACAGATTAGATAAACTCATTTCATGGGAAATTGGAGAGAAGGACAGACTCTGGAAATAGTTAATTGACAAATGCAGTGCCAGGTAATTATGATACCATGCCTTGATAACTACTATCAAAGTATTTAAAGACCAAGTGCTGACTTGAAACCTTGGAAATGTGTGTTTACTCTGATTGCTCCACATGGGAACTGCAGGCATCTGACTCCCTGTGAACTAGCAAATGGCAGTTCTGCTGATTTTGGGACAACTTTAGCAGCGTTCAGAAGACAGAAGATTTCCTCCATATAGTCTGAAAATATGGGTAGTGTCTTCACTCAGTATTTCAATAACAGATACCTGCAAGGTTTCATGCTATTTTTTTATTACAGTGTTCTGCTATGCAAAAGTGAAACAGCATATTTTGTACCTGAAATGTTTATGCTACAATGAATACAACAAAATTCAATCCTCACCTCTCTTTCACCCAATGATCCATGGTAACTTATATTTCTAGTGCCTCAACTCTTTCATCTTTCTCTCCTCACTTCACTTTCTGGTACACCCTGTCTGCTGCAGATGATATGTTCACACAACAAAACTTACATGGGACTGGTGAGTCCAAATGATTGCTGCTCTGCCTTTTGGTAGGGAATAAGCCTTTCCATCCCTAGAAAAATCCTCTTGAAAGAAACCTCTTCAACCAGGCAGCATTTCTATTCTGAGACACATCAAATCTGAAAGCTCACTGCTGCTGGAGGCTAGTTAGCTTTAGTCTTTTGATGTGGATTTCAGCTTGACACAGGAAATCTCTTTGACCAGTTTTGTCAGTAAGCTTCAAGGGCATTTCCACATTGTGAAACTCTCTATGTCTGACTTAATTTCAATTCTGTTGAAATTACAGCAGACAGGTCAAAACTTGGAAAATTTGGGCTTTCGGATGACTTTGCCACTGTTACAGAGAAGCCTGAAACTTTTTGCAAAGACATTTGAAAAGCTGAGCAAAAAGTTCAGCTTATGACTGAGGTATCTTAAGTGCTGTAATTTGACTAAACACAAAAAACACACACCAAAAAATCAATTAAAAACATACTATGCATGGGAGCATAATTCAGAATTCTGAAGAAGACTCTGAAATTACTTCCAAATTCAGGGATGTTTCTCCTACAATGTGTTCAGAAATGCTATTATCATTGCTTCTGCCTTTCCTACTGTTTTAGCCAGAATAAACATTTCCAAACAAACACTGACAAATGGGGACCTTGAAGGAGTCCTGTATGTCCAGGGAACTTGAAGAGACTTTAAAGCATTCATGAATTTACTGGAGATGCTTAAAGATTTGCAAGACCTGGTCACTAAATTTTCTTTTTAATTGGGAAAAGCTAACCTGTTTCACTAGCTTTTATCCCCATTGAGGCAATTCAGAAAATGACACATAAACAACTTTTGGTTTTAAAATGAAGAATTTTCCCTACAGAGAATTATTGGTAAAGTCCTGTTAGCACAAAAATTAAGCAGAATACTGCCACTGTTACCTGCAAATTCTAGAGTTTAAAACTGGAATTCATTACCCATAAGATAATAATGGAAACCATAAAGCAGATGAGAGCATGGAGGACTCTCCTAAAGCTCTGACTGATAAGTTATTCCCATTTCTTAAGTATCTCTGAAGTTTAAATGAGTTATAGCAATGAGTTAGGCTGAAGCAGAATCAAAACTGTCCTTGCAGAGAATCGTTGGATAGATTTTTATGAAAGTCAGCAGAAAACTGACTCCAACAAAAAGATTGCATCTCATTATGGTCATGCCAAAGCCAGCTATGACTGACAGACTCAAAGTACCAGCATTTGAATTTCTAGTACTTCAATAAAGATCAGAATTTTGCAGCCATTCGTTTTATAAAAATGATTCCCAGAAGCCAGAGTATTGCTACCAAAATCTTACCTGTGTGGTTTCTTGAAAATCCTTCCTACTGTTTTGGCTTGAAGAATAAGGGGAGCAATAATTTCCAAATGTGACTTTGCAAAGAAATATAATTAATGGTTCTGTGGTGCTTCAAGAAACAGAGAAAAATAAAGATAAATGACTTTATTAAAAAAAAAAATCAGTTTCCCCCAAACCACAAACCAATATTCAAAATAAAGTCATACTCAGTGAAACTCTGAATATGATGTATTAAACCTTACATGGGAGCGCTCTACTATTGGATTATAATGGCATACATTTAAAAGACAAATTTTCAGTGGCTGTAGAAAGCAAGCAGACACTTCAGGAGTACTGTTATATTTCATCTTATCTGAAAAAGGCAGATGTTTACAGGGATAACATTGAAGATAAAAGATTGGACGAGTCCTTTCTTGCAGAAACAGGAGTAATAAGCTGTTGTCAAGCAGATTGTTTGGCAGCTGTTCTGGCTACTTCTGGCCTTTCTCAGAATAAAACTCCAAAAGAAAGGACTTGTTCCCTCTGGGAAAACATGGTAGAGGTGGGAGAAAATACCTGCTGAAAGGAATAAGTTTGCTGCCTTTCCCTGCTTTAAGTCACAATTTTATTCAATACCAGAAGTTCCTGCACAAGATTCCCCCTTTAACAGGGTTTGGCACAACAGGCCCAAAGAAGGTACTCTCTGCAGTTACTCATGCTATGTTCCTGATAATATTTCTCTACAACAAAAGCAAAATCAGATCCCTAGTCCAGAGACCCCAATCCTGCCAATACACACATACATGTCTGCTCCAATGATTACTAGGATAGAAGTTTAAGACTTCTGGATTTCCATACCTGTAACATTGGGTGAAATTGTCCTTGAGCTGAGAATGGTATTGGGCCTATGAAACAGCACAGAATCTACCCAAAAGGTCTACATTAACAATTTAGTTGTGCATAGATTTTTCCCACTCTGAATAGGACAAATTTATGTAACAAAAGACATCAGGCAAGAATTCTATCAAACAAAGAACTACTGTTGTCTTTTATATGTATTCCTTTTAATTGTACTTACTTTATTTCCAGTGAGATTTCTACATCCATGGGTGTGTATTTGTTAATAGGAATAACATAGTTGTAGTTTCCAGAGCTGAAAAAGGTTGCATTAACACATATGGGATTTTGAAATAGACAGTATCTTCACCAAAACATGGAAATTGCATTTAAATTTAAACAGAAAAAAACATTAAAAGGTATCAAAGACTACTGCATGCTAGAAGAAACAACTGTGAGCAGGAGCCAGTCAGGCAGCCAGGCCACATTAATGGTATTTTATTCCACCATAGCACAATAAAACAATTCTCCTACCTGCACTGCAGATTTTTACTACAATAGCGATTGTCAATGCTTTGCTGAGTTTCCAAAATCTGTATGGAACTGATTGTTGTATCAATCCCTAAAAACATTAAGAATAATGGTTTATTCTTGATTATTTCAGAAATCTTAGATAAGAGCATAATAAAACTGCAGTTAGTTAACTGCCTTGATTGCCACTACAGGACTTGCTGCAGGTCTAAATTAGCACTCAGTTAAAAAAAGCCTCTGGTTGATTACTTTGATTCTGGCATTGGAGATAAGGTCCTTGTTCACTTTGCAAGGACAAATATCCTGGGAACCTAACATTGCACCATTTTCTTCTGCACAGACATTGAAGGCTACTTTGATGGCATTCCAAGTAAAACTCAAATGAATCAATATTCATTTTAATGCACTAGAAGTCATACTCATTCAAGTAACCACTAACTTGAAAAACCCTATCTTTGTTGAGAGGAATAATACAGAATGCAACAAAACTTGTTTTTAATTCTCTGTGGAAGAAAACTACACAAATTAAATGAAAATTATAATTCCTTCATGTAATGTTGTCTTGAATTGGCAAGAACTTTTGTTTTTGAAAGAGCTTTGCAATATTCTACAGATAGATGACAAGTATAGTCATGATAACATTGGCAGACACCACGTGCCTGAGAGTGCTGTCCAAATCCTTCCTCAACTCTGGCAGTCTTGGTGTCATGACCACTTCTCTGTTCCAGTGCCTGACCAACCTCAGGGTGAAGAACCTTCTCCTGATATCCAGCCTAATCCTCCCCTGACACAACTTCATGCTGTTCCCTTGGGTCCTATCACTGGTCACCAGGGCAGAGATCAGTGCCTGCCCCTTGGCTTCCCCTCAGGAGGAAGCTCTGGGCCACCAGGAGGTCTCCCCTCTCCTCTAGGCTGAACAACCCAAGTGATCTCAGCTGCTCCTCATACATCTTCCTCTGCAGACCTTTCACCTGGTCTTACAATGTGGTGCAGAAAGCACAAGGAGAACATGGTTCAGCAGCCCCAAGCCCTTCACATCACACTGTGCACACTGCCTTTGTGTTTCTGTTCCTCTGCCCTACAGCAACCATCCCCTTTTTTACAGAGAGCCTTGATGACTACAGGGTGACCTGTTCTCTGATTATAAAGTCTCTGTGCAGTAGTATATATTTAATTTTCAGCATGCAAATATCTACAAGTGGCAGAGGGAAATTGAGCATGTTCATCTCAGAGAAGTAGCACAGGAGAGCATTTCCCTGTGATGCAGCAACTCACTACAACATGGAACATAGTGATGCCTCAGAGGAGCTTGTCTGAGGTGTGTGTACCCATGCAAAAAAACTCAGAAGGGGAATGATTTTTCCCAGATCATCTCACTGGGGCACATCTAGGCAACAAGCAGAACCTGTGTTCTATTCCTCACCTGCTTTAAGTGCATGGTCTAGATGTCTAAATTTAGATGTTTTATCATCCAAATATTGCCTAGTCTTTAATCAAATCTTCATTTAAAAAAAAAAAAGGCCTTAAAACAGAGGATTCACATAAACCAAAAAGACACAAGGCATAATCCTGCTCATACTGAATGAATGCCAGAGCATGCTGTTCTAACATATGTAGTCAGCAGATACTCATCTTTACATAAAAGAATCAATATTTTCAACCCAGGCTGGCTCTGACAGCAGTGCACAGTCTCTAAAAGGGGAACCTGAAATCAAGCCAAACTTCCTGTGTCAAGAAATTTTATTTCATCTCCTCTGAATGTAGTGTCAAGATCTGAAGGTAAGGATGGCCCCCTTGAGCAGCTGACTTTTTAATCCCTTAGGTGAGATGAGGCAAACCTTAAACACTTCGTTCACACTATATCATGAGTTTCCTGCACACAAATATCACACTCATATCCCTTGAGCACAAGATTTTAGCCCCTGTCAAGGAAAATGTCACTTGTCATTTTATTGTATCTGATGCCAAGCCTAAGAACTCTCTAGAGGGGGCAGTCAGAATGTCTATAAAAATCCAAGGAAGATGTAAGAATAAACTGAAAATTACAGTGAATCACAGGTTTCCTGTGGTTCACAGGAACTATACTCACAAGTGCTAACTCTCTACAATGATGAATTATAACTGAAACGTCTCTAAATTCCAGAAGTAGAATTCCAAGCCTAAAAGTAGATCTTGAAAGCTATTCAAGTAAACATTTTATTTTTTTTTTCGTTTAAATATAGAACTTACAGTCATTTCCAAGATCAGGTCTTCCACCAAGTTTTTTGACTGGATCTTTTTTGGGTAACATGTCACTTTTGTTTCCTGTGAAAGAATGAATGTACAAACACAGCTGAAATTAGCCTTGAACAATTGTAACAGCAAACGATGAATACAAAACCAGAAGATATTTTGTTAATTATAACTTGAATAAAGACATGCATAACCACAAGAGATATCTTTAAAATACAAAGCACCTCCACTCAGGAGAAGATATACACAGACAAAATAAGTTTGCAGATAACAAGAAACAAGTTTTTGAAATCTACAAAGTATCAAAAACATTTCCAAAACATAGCCTAATAGAAAAGACTTCATCACACACAGAGAACATCATCAATTTCTATAACAGAGAGCCAAGCTGAAAGTCAATGTGCAGCCAGGCACTTCAGCAAAAATCTGAACATAAAGCCACATCTTTCTTATCAGCGAGAAAATGGCATTAGGAATTGTAGGCATCTGGCATGCCAATATAGGCTGGGGGAACAACTTAGATTTTTGAATGTGAGATGTTAAGATACTGAGGACTGAGCCAGCACTTCAGAGAGAGGATGCATAACCAAATTTAAAAATAATTTAATACACGTCTAATACACGTCTCTAACAACACGATCACCATGTTCACTGATGTCACCTCTGTAACTTCAAACATGGAATTAGGCTGTGTAATATAAGCTGATTACCTCTTTTTTTTAATTATTATTCTGTTATTTTCTCAACACTTGCCTAGAAAAGTGAACTTTAGAGGTTTTTTGAATAATCACCATATAGTACAACCTGGGGAAGGCAAATGGCCCTACAAGCCCATGGGAAATGGTCTAATGCTATTCCTGTGCATCTACACAGATTGCCAGCCAAGAATCTGTTCAGAGACATGCTACCAGTAAACTGGCACTGGGAAATGCTGATCTTGCCTAAACCAACATGCTTCATTGGATATAATTTCTAGAATACCAAAATACTACATTATCATGCTTTGCAAAGGAAATTTTCTGATTTCAAAATGACTGTTTCATGATAGGAAGCAGGGATCAAAATGCATTAGTACTGAGATTGAAACAAGACAGCTGGATTGACCTTATTGTTTTCTTATTCATTCCAGATTTTGATTTCATATCAGTATTGGGAAATAAGAAAATCTAGACTTTTCTCATGCATTCTCATAGTAGGTGACCAAGACCACAGAACAACATTAACAACTGGAATCCTAGAGCCCAGAAGCAATGTAATACAAAATCATCTTTGGGATTTTAATCTGACTTGTCTTTTTTTAATAAACTTCTCATACTGCTGCCAGCTATTCCTTTAATCCATTTCCTATTCACTAGCTCATCATACAGATCTACAGCTTCTGCCAGATTTGGGGGTAGTAGTCATCTGCTATGACTACAGTGGGCTGCATTTAGTAGTCATCTGCTGACCCATATCCTTATACAGTTTCACACACTTAGAAAAAAGGCTACTGAACCATGCAATCACACATGTACACTCATTTTGGAGTAGATCTAATAAAAGCCTGCTCATTCTCTCATTCCTCCCTTTAATTCACAAGCTAATTGTCACACATTCATTTTCTCCTGATTTCTCTGAATAGTCCAGATATGCTAGCAATGCATTTAACACTGTAATTTTGTATTGTCATTAGCAGAGGGCTACTCTGTAGAAAACCTATATCCCATAGTAGGGGTAAAAGATTCCTCTATGTAGATAAAATAATTCAGCCCATGTAAGTGTTGGTAGGAATATTGATTAAAAACTTGGGATTAGTAAACACTTAAAACTGATTCTTTTGCAGATGGTGGAAGAAAGCATTACGCAGTATCAGAATTTTGTAAAAAAATCAAGACAAAGACAGATTTACTTCACTAAGATTTCAACTATTTAAACTGAGTCAATAACTAGCATAGAACTTTATTTTCACTTGGGTTTTCACTCATCCTAAAATTGCCATTTCATTGTTCTTTCAGATATTGCAATCTAAATTTTGAATACAAGGTGCCAATTGAGAACACCAAGAACTACCACAAAGCACCACAGCGATCTTCAATAAATTGTAAATAAAATTCCACTCTTTCACATATAGTAACACTGAGGGCTTTCTCAAAGGCTCATGTGGGGTGTTGAAGATCCAATTCAATAACAAATATAGAACTACAAGCCTGACAAAAACGTAATGAGGAAAACCATCATCTTCAGATAAGATTAAGAAAAACTCATTCAATAAATGTAGTGGTTTTTTTCCCTCAAATACTCTATGCTTTTAATTCAAGAGAGTTGTAATTTCTGTAAGCAGCGTGGGAAAAATCTGCTGGTGATTTCTCATCATGGTGGTACTTTACTCTGAATCTGTTAACTACCCTCTGAAGGCAATAAATGTGAATGCATGAGGCTGACCAAAATTCAGCTGGAGCTGTCATCAACCTTTCATTGTGAGGTGAGAGACACTGAGGAGAAACAACAAATAAAGACTGCTCCTGGTTATTGGTGACACTTAACATTAAGCAATGAGCACTAATGGCATGGGATCAGAGAGCAGAAAAGGCCCAAATGCTAAAGGGTATTCACTTTCCTGAATTCCACTGAAATCAATCGAAGTTCAAAGAAAATATGAGGAAACAAGGTCACAGTAAGCTAGATGACAAAAAGATGTGCTGAGATTTTGTTTAATAAATTTCTCTTGCTTATGAATGTTTTTGTTTCTACTTGAACTTTCCAAACAGCTTTTTCATCAGCAAATCCAGGATTCAAAGATTAGGAGCTATGATGGATGCACTCCATAGTAGTCTCCACCCACCAAATTCAGGTATTGCATTGTGGAGCAGCAAAAGGTCTGTAATAATTCCCAAATTATTATTTAATTTAATTGCAATTTCAAACAGTTCTACATTTTCATGAACAGGATTAATCAGTTGATTCTAAGGTATCCACTTTTTATCTTGATTATTTCCCATATTTAACTCTCAGCTGTTCTGAAATGTCCTGAAAACATTTTCCTTTTCATTTATCTTGGCTACAGCTACATTAAACAGCTTGTTGGTTTTCCTTCTGTTTGGATTTCATATTGACATTGTTACCTTCCATCTGGGGATACATTTAGGTTCATTAAACTTGTGCAGAACTGAAATCTTTCAGTAGTTTGTGTACTGTGCTGATTTTTTCACTCTTGGATCCAGTATTAATACTATTTGGAGCATAAGACCTTGAGAAGGTAATGCTTTGTGTTTATTCTTATCTTCTCGTTCCACCTAGTATCAGAAGCAGCCAGCTGAGGATGAAGGTTTTCATATTTCAATTTCATCCATCTACAGTTCCCTAATTTATAAACGAGATTTATGTCTTCTTAATTAATCAACACTCTCTCAGGCTTCATAGCAACACAAATCACTCAGGTAGAAAGCACTGTATTGAGCTCTATCTGCCACAGGGCTTACTGCAGCACTGATCACAAGAATCGCAAGGAGCACTCACATCCAGCCTGTCTGAGAGGAAAGAATGGCCAGAGGGTGAGTCCCACTGAAACAGCTCATGCTGAGAGTGTCACAGCAATTGGCAATGCCTGCCCTGTCAGACACTGGTACTGCAGAGGCTGAACTGCATCCATCCCCAGTTTCACTTCACTTTGTTGACTGGTAAAGCAAGAATTGTTCCCAAGGCCAAGATAGGAAAAGTCTGACTGCTGGTTTAGTAATATTAACACTTGCTTCCAGACACTGGATATGTTAAGGACTGGGAAAGAGGAATACAGAATCTCACGACTTATGCATACCTTTATGCATTAATCTTTTCTTATAAATATTATAAAAGTTGTAAACAACACATCTTCTCATACACTACACATAAAACATCTGGTAGACAATATCAGTAAAATAATTCATTCCAGTAAAAGTATTTTATTTTTAGAGCTCTGTCTTCAAATAATACTATCAAAACCCCTGCCTTAACAATCAGAATTTTAAGTTTTATGTTTTCAGGCAGTTGGCATTCTGTCCCAGTCCATAGAAAAGATGTACTACCACCACATTGTGACACAATTCAGTTTTTTGGAGTTTTTTTACATTTGTTAATTCATCCTCTACTACCACTAATCAACTCCCATCCAACTATAGCCAAAGGTTAATTAAAGGTATTAGTGAGTTTCCAGTTCACATCAAATAATTTACCAAGAATGGCCAGGAAGAACAGTGACACCAGACAAAACATCTTTGGGGCCCCAAATTCTTAAGGGTAACCAGGCCAGATTTTTCAAAAGCATTTTGACTGTAGTAATGATTAGCTATATCAACATTTTTTTAAATCTTCTGGACTAAGCTCTTTTGTAGAAAGCTAACTACATTTAAAGATTCTTGCCCCTTCCCCCATACTTCCCATACAGTCTCTGCTCAAATTAAAAATAATTAAATTTTCAACTTACGTTTTTCCTTTGCATTGTTTTTTTCATAACTTAGAGATGTGACTTTTGCTTGATGAATTGGACAACAGTAGACCTTGTCACAAGGCAAAAGGTCACAGAAATTCACTTCAGGGATCCTGCTGATGGGCTGTGTGCTCTGAGAAACTGTGCTTTCTCTCTGCAAAGCTAAAGCAAAAAAAAAGAAAAAAAATTATAATTCTCACAAATGCTGTGTACTGGCATTTTATAATAGCCCATTATGTGTATGCAGACCAGCAGAGACACAGTACCTGCTGTGGTGGTAGAGGGAGAGACTAGAACAGAAGTTGAGGTACTGCTGATGAAGAAAAACAATTCATTAAGAAATGGACATTAGAGCTGAGGACCAAAACAAATTTATCCACAGCCTATTACTGATTCTACTAATTTGAATTCACTAATGGTAATTTAACTACTTGCCTGTAAACTGGATGCTTTTCAAAACGGCTGTCATGAATGCTAAGTAAATATAGGCTCCATATTGTCAAGGCACTGTGGAAAGAGAATTGTTCTGTAGATTTACATCCATCTTTTATGCAACATAATATGAACAATACCTTGACAGCATCACGTCAAAAAGGAGTCATGCAGTGTTAACTGTCTGATCACTTTCCCTTCAGTGGGAAAAATTTCTACTGAATTTAAGGAGGTTTAGATCAGATACTTGTATGGAGTATTGTGCTCATAAACTTGTATTCAACACAAAATACGGCCAGTTTCCAACCTAAACAGAATCACATCACCAGTTCAAAGAGATTATAAGCCACAGGGTTTTGGACTGGAGACAGAAAATGGAAATCTCAGAGGTCCAGTGCGTACTTCACTTTCCACAAGCCCAATGTCACAAGTTAAACTTTCAGTCACATAATTGCCCTCCACAGTGGAAACGGGTTCAGCTTCATTTCACACAGCAGAATCACTCTGTACATAAGAAATTGTACTTAGGCACAGAATGATTGGATAAAACATGCAGAGTCCAGTTTTGCACCTGTAGCACAAGCCACTGAGGTACACTCAAGGTGCACCATATAATTGTGACATGGTGTGCCCATCACATGAGTACCATACTTTTATAAAATGGTCTCAACTTTATAATATTACCCGGGATTTTCATTGTTAATTTTAGTACATTGTGTTCTTCAAGTAGGAAGGGAAAAGGAGAAGAAAATGTGCTATATTATTTCAGATAAGTAGAAAGGGGAAGGGAGAAACAAGTCAAATTGTTGTTAATTAATTGTTACCATAGTGCCATAATAGCAATCAAAGCTATTATAGTCACCCGGAAAATCTTCACGGAGCAAGATTCTTTGGTCTTTGACAAACAAACCTAGGGTAAAAAAAAAAAAAAAGTTTGGTTAACTCAAGCAGCATACATCTAAGCAACTAATAGTAGATTAAGAAATACTATACTGCACTAGGTTGACTTCACATAACCCTTGCTTCTTTCATGGTCACCCTTATATAGGGGGCAACATCTACAGAGAAAAACTTGTTAATTAGAACTTTGCAATTAAAAGGTCCCTAAGACTGAGAATGCACTGTACATTGTTGATAGTGTGGGGGCACAAACATTACAGAGGAAGAAAGGACAGATAAAAATAACAGCTCCTTGTCCTTTCTTCCTGCCATTTTTCCTACTTTTGAAGTATTTCAAAACCAAATTAACAACTCAGTAAGTGTCCAGAACTAAAAGGTCAGCAGCTTTCAGTATGTGCTCCGACCACGTTAAAGCAGGACTGTTATAAATACAAAAAAGAAAGGCTTTCCAAATGACTTTCCAAGTAAGTAGGATAATCTTAGATGATGGAGCATTTAACTGTCATTATGGTACAAAGCATATTTGGCCTATTATTTTCTCTTGCTCTTTGGCACTGGCAAAAGCGAGGTAAGCAAATGAACATTGGTTCATCTGAAAGAACAGGGCTGGGCGGCCTAGGAAGACTGTCCTGAAAAAGGTCAATATATGTATTTCCTCAATATGATCCCTTTGAAAAGGAGTATCCACTTCCTATACCACGATACAGGCAAGAGAAAGTGAAAGCAAATCACAGTGAATGATTCAGACAGGGATTTAATTTCACTCACCTTCCTGGATTTTAGCGGGACTGATTTTATTGATGGCAAGGTACTATTAGCTCGACTATACCTGCTGTAAGAGACAAGATCTCTTTAACATTCAAATGCCTCAGCAACAAATTAATGAAATAAAGATACTTTTAATGTGTTAATGTCACTTGCATTTGCTATTTTAACATGTACAAAGGAAAAGGCAGAAGTGTCAGCAGATTAATTTTCAAGGACAAAGGTCTCCAGTTAACTCATTCAGCTGAATGCTCTTAAATGCTACATTTAATTTCAAAGAAAACTTGGGGAAATGGCTTAGAAACAGGAAACACTCATCACTTCCACTGAAGCACTAATGAAGAATCTTTCTTGCAGAAGAAGCTCTACAGATCTGCCTTAGAAGCAATTTCCAAGTCCCAGAGCGGTAACTGGACATAATCTACCTTTTACTTTATGCAACAGAAGCAATTACAAAAATAACTGCTATTTAACAGCCATTTCAAACATTAATTTCGTCAGTGACTAAAAAAAATATGAGAATTTGGGGTCTTTTGCACAGCTTAAACACTGGAAAATAGCTGAATTCTACTGTCAAGCAAAATCGGTTTTCACTTCTATCGCAGAGAACACTTTAACAATCTGTGTGACAACTATCAGAGAACATCCCAGCCAGAGGTACCTGACTTTGCTTTCTTCACTGACTGTTGACTTTAAACTGTTAATCCGTTTCAGTCTGGCCAGTTTCCTATTCCACTGTTCCAATTCTTCTATTCTGACTTCAAGATTGTTTGTTAGCTTACAAAGCTGCTTTACAGCACCAACATTCTCCATAAAGATCTGATCCTGAGAAGAAAACAATGACAAAAGTACGTACATAGCAGATACATAGGATATTCATCAATCAGATGTAACAAGCAGAAATGAGTGCAGAATTCACCTATGTAAACACCAGTTATCTCACTGTAGACGGGTGCATGTATGACCATAAAATCCTTTTGCTAGACATTTAATTTGCAGTAAATTGAAAATGAGGACTTGCAAAAAAATTTGAAGAAGCTAAAAGGCTTTTTACACCAAGAATTTAAACTGTTTTGCCTTTATACTGTGTTGAAACCTTAACACTGTTCCATCAAGTAGGCATCTACTACTTGATTTTCAGTGTTGCAGCTGAACATAGATTTTAGAATTCCTTAACAAAGTATACGTCCACCCACCTCCCTATAGGCTTTAGGTAGGCTCAGACAAACCAGAGTTTCTATCCATGTTGTACACATAATGTTAATCACACAGAGATAAGTGAGACAGATTAAAAACCAGACCAGACATCGAGCTGTGGTTGCACAATGTTTTGCTCTCCCCTTCAGCCTCTCCAGTCTCTTACAGGAGTCTTGTAGGTTCTAATAACATGATCATCTCTGCAACTAAAACATTTTGCTCCTTCTGGATATTTTACCCAGGAAAATCTCCTAATCTCCTAGCCCTGCTTATCATCTATGTATCAATCTGCTGGAGAAGCCCTCAGTATAACCATCCAGGTAGTAAGTATCTTACCAATTTCTGAGTTAAAAATGGTTACTGGCCCACTGCAAGAGCATTGTAGAAGAGTACTTTGTTTGCTGTGTTTGAAAGAATGGCTTTCTCATACTAATGTATAACCAGAATGGTGCCACTGGACAAAGTTATTACTGTAGTTAATGTTGTTTACTGTTCTAGTCTAGTCAAATTATGCAGAAGGTAAAAGCAGTTTTGCCTTTCACATTGTAAAAGTCACACACACCTTTTTTTAAAGGTGACTGCATTCCACAAAACCAGACAGCATTTCATGTAATCAGAATCAGAGCACATTATCTGTGGCAACTCACCAGCTTCCCTACTGCCAGAATACCAAGAGCCCATTTAAATAAAAAGTGACTTCAAAATAATCTCTTGTACCTAGAACTGTGAAATCACTTATATGGCCACTTTCCCTCCCATATCAATGATATGTAGCAGCTGTCCTTTCCATTGCCTTCAAATCAAGCATGAATTGCTTCTAGGTAGCTTCAACTAGCTGAGAAAATTGCTCTTCTGGCAAAATGAAGGAATACTCCGTTTGAGGGGAAAAGAACTGATCTGAGTTTTACTGCCACTCTAGTGACAAAATACTGAGTACAGTGCAACTGAGAAGAAAATATTCTGTCTCAAAAAACCAAATTGCACATAGTTGAGACATTTCTCTAGAAAGTAGCAGAGCCTGGTTCAAATGTGTAATGCTATCAATTAATTTTACAGAGTTCAACAGCTCCAAACTGCCAAAGAGATGTAAAACCCACCAACACTCTACTTATCTGGAAACAAACTTGGAATATGAGATAACAAAGTTCAAGGTCTCATCACCTGCCAATCTGAAAGAAAAAATATGAAGCACTGTCCATTCGTTATTCAAGCTGCTGAGCTACTCTAGAGCTGGGTGCTCCAGAAATTTAAACCAGATGTTCCACCTGAACAAGACATGTTCCAAATCTCTGAATTCAATATACCTCTTAAATGGACAGAGATCTCTCCCAGTTCTGTCACCCCAAAGGTAATGGAATTGGGGAATTTCATACATTCTGCCACAAGTGTTAGGAGAAAGAGGAGCAAGCACAGATTTATCTAACCATATTAAAACAACAAAGTGCCTGTGAAGTAATCCCAGATCCAGATCTAGACAAGTAGTCAAGAAAATGCTAAGCAGCAAATAAGCCACTGCTGTAACAAACCATTCCTGCTTGGGCCACATACACAGCAGAATCACATCCTACAGGGATGAACAGAAAGTAGGTATTCTCCATTTGTAGGTCACATCCCTGGAAGACATCCTGGCAAGGACTCTCCAGTGACCCAAGGTACAGAGAAGAAAGGAAACATCATGGGCCCAAACAGCAGTGCTGTGAGGCACTGTTAGAGATGGTATTTTGTGTGATATTTCAGCAAGGTAGAGATATGAATCAAAAGCTCAATTCTCCAACCTAAGCTTCTGTCAGATGAAAAACCTAACTACTCTAAAGAAATTTTGGAGGCATTCAAAAATGCAAATGATGCCACAGCTGTCATACAATATAATAGGGAGGCCTAAAGGGCAAAACTAACCTGGAGTCACCTACCACCAATGCTCTTCTGCTAGCATCTAGAAATCAGTTACAGGCTGGAATCCTGACCAAATTGAGCAAATTTTTTAGAAGTCTCCTTTTCAATGGTATCTCCAGAAGTGCTCTTTCCACAGCTTTATTCAAGGTGTCTAATTCATACTTCTTTTATATGGAATACAACATAGAAGATTTAACCTATGAATTCAAATTATTTATAGCCTATCAAAAGATGACAAGTGAAATACAGTATTTTTGTAGATATTTTCTCCAAGTTTGGTGGTGTAAACTTGTATTTTCTATAGAATAATGAAAGAATGCATTATGATAATGAATGCAGGATTGTGTTCATGATATCATCCAGACAAGATAAGGTCACCTTTCTCTAAAACTTCCCTCTTCTCATTATCAGCTGCAAGTGGGAAAGAATTGGGAAGTGGTCTTTGGCATGCAGTGAACCAGCACTCAGCAGAGGGGCTGCTTTGAGACAAGTGCTATCTGCAGCCTTGTGTGACTGGACTCTGTGACTGACAGTCCCTTGCAGCTGTATTTCTACTGGAAAAGGAAAAGAGAGCACAGGACAATACCTCAGCAGTGCTTCCAACCTATGAGCATGGTAAATACTTTGTGTGCCATTTCAGAGCATATGATTTTGAACCCATAAAAAGCATTTCAGATTGCCAAAAAACCCCAAAACCCTAGCACTTGGATTTGGTATGTAGAGGTTATACCAGGATTAGAGTAAGGAAGTTTTTATTTAACAAATTGAATGCCGGCATTGCTTAATTCATTTGTGGAACACTTAATTAACTGAAACACTTAACACAAAAGAACGTTTTGGAGTACCACTTGTTGAACCAATGCTATGAAATCACTATCCACTTTTATTCAGAAAAGTTAGGGCTTTTTCTTTTTAACTGTATGTTTACTGTAATAAGTTTTTAATATAGATACTTCTTGTCATTAAAAGATTCAGCCCTTTACTAACAGCTGGTGGTTCAGCTTTTCTTGATGACTCACTGAACACCGTTTCTGTAACACATAAGGGGGTGCTACAGCTTTTTATGGGGCACAGCGTGTGTTCATAGCTCCTCACATGAAGGAACAGCCTAAATACACACCCCCACTTTCTCCCTCAAGACCATACCTTGTCAACCATGAGGAAGTTTTCTATTTTTTCTCCATCATTACAAGCAACATCTCCAACTTCTCTAACAGCTTCAGGTAAAAGCCTCTTCACTTCCTGGGCTATTATTCCTGTTCAGGAGGTAACAAGAACTAATGTCAGGAAACATACTGGCAAACCCGCTGGCCATTCTAAAAACTACAGGCAAAGCAAAAAATTATCTGGAATTTATCTGTGATAGGAAAATCCATTATTTCAGGGGCTTTTCTCCATTCCACAAAAAAAACCCCACAGAAACCTTTAGAATTCTCATTTCTCTGCAGAAAGAACAGAATTGTTTGTAAGCACACACTTCATTCCAATTGAACTTCTGGAAAATAAACTTCTCATCTTTAAAAATTGAAATAGAAGTTGTAAAATTACAACCAATACCTAATTTTGGCATTTTTATACCACAAGAGATGCACAGCAAAGTGTGCAATTGTGGTAACCTAAAAAATGAGGATGAAATATCAGGATATTAAAAGGTACCATGGTACAATAAATATCAGTAGGTGTTAATGAAAAATGGGAACAGAGCTGACTTTATACCTGTTTCATGGGTATCTTTTATTCCCATAACAGATGCAAATTCAGGCTTGTAGTCATATTCCACCAGCCTCATTTGTGTTATTCTTCTCAACTGCTCATTTGTATCGACCTAGTTGGAAAAATACCAAGATTTACATGCTGAAACACTAAGCATGGCCTCTAGGATGAGAGAAAGAGCAACTAGCCTGACACAGTCATTTGGTCAGTCATCACATTGAAAAATACAGACAATTTTCCCATTCCTCACCACCAGAATGCTGTTTGTATTTGCATTGGCAGTTATCCTCCTGTTTGACAACTCCCAGCTTCTATAGAGAGCCTTCTCCAAAGTCTGCAGGTGTTGCTGTAAGGGCAGGCATGACATACAAAAGGCACACTACATTTCAAAAGGCTAATATCTGATTATTACAACACTGCTCCATCTTTTAGACCCTCTATACACTTCATACTTTCTTATTTGTCACAATTAGTCAACACAGCAGTCATTGGTGGAAACTTCTCCACTCCTATTCTTCCCAGGATATTTCTCAAAATACTTTCCGCAGCTGCGGAGTTTTTTTCGCGGTTATCTTCTTCTCTCCTCTTCTTGGTCTCCATGCCAACAGCCTTGGTCGGAGAATACTTCTCAAAACAAATCTCACTCATTAACCTTCTCTAACCCACAGACCAGCTGTGGGTCCTACTATATGTAGGTGAGCAATGGTACATCTGGTTTCTTTAAGGCAGCATTTCAGCCCAGTCAGGACACAGGAGCTGCTCCACACGTCAGAGCCATGACCCACCCGTGCCAGCACAAGTGCCCTCAGCACTGCACGGCCCTCACCTCGCGGATATTCTGCTTTGCTCGGCTGTCAGATGGGTGCATGACTCTGCCCATAACTTTGGCGTTCCCGCAGACAACCAGCGCTTCGTCTGGGGCGTCCGTGTTAATTCCTACTCGACCATGATAGGCTATGGTGTCTGGAACATGTCCTCGCTGCCACAGGACATCACTGTCATTCTCAAACTGCCCGGGGTTAGATGCCTGGAAGAAAATTTTTTTGCTTAATGATACAGTATAACATAGATGCACTACTGTTTACTCTATCAGAAATTGGGGAAAACGAAAAGCCAAATTTTAAATATTGAAATTGTATTCAAGAGCTTTTTAACACACTAAGGTAAAAAAAACAGAGTGGAGTTACTTCTCAGTATTTCTGCTCCCACAGCAAGGGCCTCGTGCTTTTTTCCCTTGAATTCTACTTCATTAGAACCTTAAGCTAAATTGACAATGTCCAAAACTTTCCAAATTCTAACTTTGACATTATACCACATAACCATTCTTTATCTACCACTAAATTTTAGTTGAGACTGGAAATCAGAAAAGAGAAAGCAAGGCAGAGATTAAACACATGTGATTCATAAAATCCTCTGTAATATTTTAAATTAACTCATACTGAAAATTTCATGTCAAGGAAACAGGGTCTTTTAAAGAACACCAATAAAACAATAGAATGTGTATAACAAGAAAAGGCATTTGATTTCAACATTTAATTTTGGGTTGTTCGTTGTTTTAGGGGTTTTTTAAACTTTGAATTCAGGCCAAAGCACAATCATGATAAAAAGAAGCCAGGCTTTCACAAGGCTTTGCCAGCTACAAGGCCTGGCACTGTGTACTCACCACTGTTTGTCACAATTAGAGCATGATCTGATATGCCTGACAAGCACCACTCAGCTGGCAGCTTTGTTGTGCTGGAGTGTATAAAGGGCCAGAAGATGAGCTGCTTTTTCTCACAGTGCATTTGCATGGCTTTGCTACTTTAAGGTAGCCAGTGGCTGACTCACTTTACCGTGCCACTGAAGCTCTATCTAGCACGGTAGCTATCTAGCACTGTTAGATAGCTAGAAAATTACATTTTTTTCCTTCTATCTTTCCTGTTGATATTTTCACTACTTCAGACCAGAGCCCCTTGATCTTTCTGCCTTACTGCCTTCTTTTTTCTTTGTCTGAAAGAGTGGCTAGGTTTGAAAAATCTCATTCCATGAATTCCTGTTCAAAAACTGTCTCACATACCTTGAAGGGGCCCTCTTCATTGAAATTTCAAAAGAATTTAATATTATAAATAGTGGGAAAATGGGAATTTCTAAATCTTACATAAAAATATATATTTTGTAAAATAACAAGTATGTGACAAATGTGAAAATTCAACAGCTTCCCCAAATTATTCATGATGTGATATCTGTAACACTGTCAGATCCAGAAAGAGAAATACAGATGAAAACAGGATTGTGGAAATTAATGGACAAATAAAGGAAAATAACTATATAATGTAAGTAGGAATGATGCAAACACTGCTTCAGCATCTTGAAGCAAAAAACCACAGCAGCAGCCAGGATGATAAACTTCTCAGCAGGGCAGAAAACTACTAAACTCCACACATTGCTTTCAAAGCCTTTTCACAGTTCCACCCAGAAATGAGCTCTGGGCCATAATACCCCCTAAAAACCTAACTCTGACTACAGAAGGAGGGTTTAAGACACAAGAAGATGCTCAGATGAGAAAGGAGCCAGGACTGAAACCGTCTGAAAGCCCCCATCTTCCTTTGGAAACCCCCGAGTAACACCCATGTACTGGAGATTTGCCCTTTTGCTCTCTCCAATCCCAAATGCTAAACCAGATCATAACTGTAAGCCTTAGGGAGATTATGGGCTGCCAAAAAGGATACAAGCAATGACCTGCAAAAAACAATGCCAGGACTAAAAGCTTTTGAGAGCCCTTGACTTTCTTTAGAAGCCTCTTCCCAGCTCCACTTAATGCACCCGAGCTTTTGGTCTTGCTTGAATCTAAGCCAAAATCCTAAGCCTATTCCTCTCCATAAGCCAAGGGCTAGAGAAAGAGTCCATGCAAACAAGAAGCAGCTCTTCAATGGACCCACATGAAAAAGTTCCGTGGACTGCAGTCTTCCAGAGGCCCTCTCCCATTTTTTGCAGCCCTGCCACATAGTACCTTATATATTTCCCATCTTTCTAAGCCTTAAACACAATATTCATCTTAGAAATAACTATAACTCCAGCCTATGCCCAGTTCAAACACTGGCCACCACCTACTGATTACAAGAAGGGGCCAGGACTGAAAGCTTTCAGCAGCCCCCACTTTTCCCCTTGCAATCCTATTCATTGTGGGGTTCTGTGTTTTCTCTCTCTTCTAACCCTAATTCTCCATAGCTCTTGTTACACTGCAGATCTGGGTTTTTTCTGAGTCCAACTGTAGGCTAAATCTGAGTACTAAAAGAAAAATGTTCTGTGAACCAGGCGACTGAAAAGTAACAGTGAACAGGAAAAGAGATTCTTCTTCCTTTTGTTAATTTGAAAGCGATATTACTACCATCAAATCGAGAGGTGGGACACTCTGGAAACACATTGGAAAAGTGAAGCTATGGGTCTTAAACTTCCTAGGGCTGTTTGACCTTCTTTCCTTACTGTTTTTTCCTTCTCATCTTCCTTGGAAAATAAAGACTAGCTAGCTAATGAAAGCTTGTACAAAATTCCTGGCAAGTGAAGTAAATAGTTTCACTGCAAATTAAAAAAAAGTCTGGAAAAATCAATATATTTTGTATTGGAACCCGTAACAAGTTTTCTTTTAAAAACCATCTATAGCTCTACTTATAACACTTTTAATTTCTGATAATTAAAAGATAACATACTCATGCAACAGGCAACTGTAGGTTTTTTCCTAAATCTTTTTGACTCAGTGGTAATTTTTATCCCCAAGAATCATGACCCTCCTCAATCTCCTGTGAATATCAAGACAGCAAATACTTTTACATGAAAGTAATACAAATTTATACCTACCCTCACAATGATCTTTTCAGAGACATTTGCAGAGAGTAAGTAGAACTGGTCCTGAGAGACAGCATACAGTCCAACTACCAGCATGAAGTATCTAATTTGAAATTGATTTAATCGAGACAATAATTGAAGTAGTTCTTTATCACAGAAAAAGTTTTAAATACAGTTGTTATTATTGATATGTAAAAAACCAATGTTTTTTAAACGTATTTCTTACAATATAAAGGGAAAAGTATTTCCTGTACTCTTAAGAAATATGCTCTTACAAACCTCATAATCACTGCAAATTAGCAAAGAATACAATAATTTTCACGAATTTAAGTAATGAAGCCTTGAAGATGAAAATCTTTCCTGCTTCAGAAAAAAAATGATCAAGATTTGGATTTTTTACTTCCTGATTTTGTCTGCCATTATTCTGGCTATGATTTCCTGAAACTATCTCTAACCATGAGGATGAAGTTTGGGGTGTTTTATTCTTATATCATTCTGTGACTGTAGAGAAAGAAGCTTTTAAGCACATAGCAAGAATTTGAAAAAAATTCCACATTGGCTCCATTCTAAAGTAGACTTTCTCTTTTCTACTTCTAACTAACACATAGGCCAATGAGCTATAGCAATACCTCTGATCAGGATTAGGTTTCCCTTTTTTTCTCATATTATTTGCTGTTGTTTCACTGAAATGCAGCCGTCCCAGTGTTACTTTAGTTATCTGGTCCCCTGGCAGGTCAACTCTAAAACAGAAAAGGAAACAAGATCAGGGAAATCAGTACTTCAAGATCTAGCTCTTCAAACCAGGTTTCTCCAAACTCATTAAAACAGTTCTGAGAAAAACTGACATATCAATGAAACAGAGGAACCCCAGGAAAAATGCAGTAACCCTGGTTTCTAAAAACGTATTAAAAACAGTGACTACATCAAGGAAATAAACAGGATAAAACACCAGCAGTAGGAAACTGTTCCTAATAATAAGAGTCTTATACTTCTTGGTCTGTACATGTCTTGGATACAACAAAATTGTATGTGTTCCATATGATGGCTGATTCACAGGATTAATAACTACTTGCTTATTATTTGGCTTGAATTTCCACAGTAAAATTAATAGATATTACTGCTTGTCCTTCCTTTCATCACCAGCTGATTTACATGTCTGGAAGTACACAGTAGACACCGATGTCTCAAATACATAGTGATAGTCCTCTAGTAAGTGATAAATAATACAAATAAAGAGTCTGTATAGATAAAATTAAAGTTCACCAAACAGTCATACATAAAATAATTTACATACACACAGCATCTATTTGTCAGTACACAAAAGGAAGAAAAATGTCATGAGAGAGGTAATTTTAGTGAAAATCAAGCTTTTATTCTAAGCTCAAAGTTCAATTTAGGTGATAATACAGTGCAGCCTTTATCACAACACTGTCCTGTCCAACTTGACACTGTCTTCTCTCTTTGTATTATAAATCTTATTTAATTATTTATAGAGAACAGACCAGCTCCAACATAGGAAACTTATGCCAGAAGAGCAAACATTGATTCTGCCAGTGAGTTAAATGCTGAAGAATGGCAGAGCTCCAGAAAGATGTGTGTGTTTCTAGCAGAGGCACTCCTCCTTAAAAAGCACTATAAATGTATTTCATGCCCATATAGAACAGGAACATTGACACTTTTTTAAGATTGGAAATGCATCTGCCATACAGCTCTACGCAACATAAAGGAGTGTTTCTAGCTGAATACAAATATTTTGGATAGATATACTTAACACATCTGTAAAGTTATTGATCATTTTCCTTAATGAAGTGTGACCACTACTGTGATTCTATGTGTACAACCACAATGAAATCTGGATAAAAATCCAAAAACTAGCTTAGAGCTACTGTAAGATTTCAAGAAACAACTACTTAATATTTCAAACCAATTATACAAATTGAAACAAAATGGAATAATTTTCTCAAAAATCTTACTTAACAGGATGAAAAGTCTTTTTGCTTCGATCTGATTGAGATTGTTCAATAGCAATTGTTTGATTTGGAGTTTCCGCCTATAAAACAAAAATAATTTTCAAAAATGACAAGAATATTAAATTTTCAAACACATAAAAATCGAAATATACATTTATAGGCAAATAAAATAGTGAAAATGCACTCGTTTCTAAAGGGATAACATAGAAATTAATACAGAAGCTGACTCCTGATCAACTGATAATTGATAATATAATCTGAAGACCCTAGTCTTTTGGCAGATGTAATTTGAAAGAGAAAAAAAAAAAAACCCAAAGGAAAGTAAGTGCATTAATTTAAAAGAAAAAATGGCTTTCTGAATCCAGGCTTTTATTGGCTCATTCCATGCCCAAGCATAAATGCAGATATGCAACATGAGAATAGAATCTACACAAGGTAGTTCCATGTTCTTGGTCAAAAAAAAAGTTCAATTGTTTATCTCATTACATGGATAATAAAAAGTAATAATCTCAAAGAGGAGACACACTTGCCTTAATTCCATAAACTTTCAAGTAAAACTTTTCTATTGGTTTCCTCCCCTGCTGAGTTTTGACATATTTCGGATGTCCAGTGATTCTAATATGAACTGTGATTTGGAAATGATTCTTCTTTTGGCACACAAAGGCATCATCTGCTGTTGAAAAATTAAATCCTTTATCTGTGACAATGTGATATCCTACAGCAGGTCTACAAAAACAAGGAGAAGGAATAGCAACTTTAAGTGCTGACATACTTGAATGACATCTTGAGCTCCTATTTTTTTTAATGTGCTCCAAAGATCCATCTGATTTTTAGTGACAAAACTGGACTAAAAATACATTGTTACAATCACCAGTTCTACCAGTATTTTCTTCTCAGACAGACAAAGATGTGAAAATGAAAACACGTATAAAATTTCCTCTAATTCTAGTCTGAAACGTTTGAAAACCAGAGGTTGAAAGGCTTATATAATCCTCACTTACAAATCTGATATAAAGGAACTCTGTGCACCTAAGAACACAAACCCACCTTTTAGTGTATTCAATCATTCATTATAACACTGCTGCAGACAACAATGAGCTAACAAGCCAGCAGGAATCCTTCCCCACTTTGTTCACAAATTCCCACAGCAAGTGCTTCTGCAGAAGCTACTGGGACTCCAATAAGGCTTTACTTCAGCTAAAAGAAAAGCTATGGGTACCAACCCTCCAGCCTGACTATAAGCTGTCCTTCCTACTCCAGCTATAGCAACTCTATTTTATTTCTTGAAAGAGCAATTTGTCACCCAAAGAGCAAGAGTATTCTGTCTCTATGATTCACAGTAAATATGGAAAGGTATCAAAAGATCTTTCTATTAGAGATAGTGAACTCACCATCCCAACAATGTTTTCAGTCCTTCTGATTTAACTGATGGATAATTCTAAAATAACAGAACTAGACGGCAAGGTTCCCTTATATAGACATTGGATTTTCTTGTTAATGAAAGTTTGATAAACTTGTATGATTCTATCTCATTAACACAATTACTGAAGATGGATTTTCATTACTCTTCCATTATTAGTTGGAAAAATCAAAATGTACAGACTTCATAGGAAACATACAGATTTTATTATTGTTTTATAAATTATGAACAGAAGTCCCATTTCAAACAACTATTCAACAACTATTGATTACCTGGGACAGAGAATAAAGAGAAAACTACTTTGTAAGTACTTCAAACCTACCAAGTCATGTGTTACTTTATATTTAAAATTATAACAAAGGTTCTACCATCTCCTCAAACCATCATTATCAAGAAGTAAAACTTACTCAGTTTTTTCCTACTATAGGTTATTTAGTTATTTAGTTATTTATTTGTATAGGAAATTTGTATATTTCATAGTAGGGAAAGAAGTAGTTTTTCATATTTAGGTGTCAGCAAGTTCATTAGCTGATATTCTTAATGCAATTTCAGACTATTTGCCTACACACAGGCAAGCAGCTTGAGAAGCAAAATTACAAATGGCCACGTCTCCCAGTTGCAGTGTTTGGAACAATAGCTCCCAAAGAGCAATTTCATATTAAAATTTTCTGAGTATATCATTTATAGTAAATAAGAATAACATATATTTTGTTCTTAGTGCACAAAGAATAAGTCTTACCAAGCAGGACAGCAAAATTTGGAATAGCTTTTAGGTAGCAACAGATATCCCTGTCACAAAAGTATCCCTACTAGAAATATGCTTTAAATTCCTCCTTCTATTCAGAATTTAAGTCTTCAGACATCTTTGGACAGAGCACCACCAGTATCAGACAAGGGCCAAGAATGTGCCAAGCAGACACAATGAAGGGCAGAATTAATGGCAGAGTAACCTTTTCTAACAAACCTACCTTGGCTAACAGCATTTTTGTTGTGAAAATGAAATAACTAAGATGTTCAAGTACTGTATGAATAAAATTTTTAAAAATTAACCTGAGAAATACCCCTCGAATGAGGGCAGCAAACTAAAGGCATGGGATCGATCCCTCCACACTAAGTAATGAGAAGCATGTCAGTGTTTTGAGACCGACAGAATACAGGATCACTACTTAGAAAATCTGTGCAATGTGATGAAATTACAGTGCATATTGGAACAAGAGCACTGCCATTGACCTCACTTAAAAGTAATACTGACTTCCTCTGCAAGTAACACCTCAATCCCCTCCCACAGTAATGGCAACAGAGTGTATTGGGTACTTTATTGCTCAGCATCACATAGGCTTTGTTCAAAAATAAATGTGTCTGGAACCTTAATTTTAGGCATATGGGAAGCAACAAGTAACTGGGTAGTGGCAGGAGAGCAATCTCCCACCATCAGCACACAGACCTCATGCAGTCATTGACTGAAAGTGCAACAGGAATTGGAAGCCACTTGCATTTAGAGTGAATACTCATATCACAAATTCAGCTGGAGGTTTCTGGGTCTATCCAGCTCCCAAGGAGTGTAAAGGTCTGCTCTCTCGTCATGCCAATCAACACCTGAGGGGAAGGGCTGTACAGGACATAGTAAGATGTGTAATGCCCCTATCCCCTGTGTGCAAACAGGGGATATCAGTGTCCAGCAGTGACACTGATATGCACCCAACTCCCATGAGATGTTTTGGCAGGTTGGGCGAGAGGAGCATTAAAATTTACTGTGCTATGTAAGTTCCATGTAGACAATGTTAAGTTTTTTGCACCAATTCTGAAGAATTAATCAGATGCTGTAGAAAACAGATAATTTGTTAAAAGGGTTCATATGCTCAATATTAGAATGGAGAAAATTAGGGATGTAAAGTGAACTTGGAATGATCTTTTCCAGATCATGTGGCAAAAAAAAAAATACCATTTGATTAACACGGGAAAACTCTAAATCTTTGAATAACCAGTTGCATGTCACAAACACATGTCTATAATTATTAAGTTGTATGAGCCCAGAAGTAATATTGGTAACTTCTAATGTTTTCCTTTAATGTTTTAGACCACTAGAGAGAAGGGTGCCATACACTTAGTAATTACTTGTCCCAATGCATTTGACAAAATAAACAAAAGTTACCAGGTATGTTAACTCACTTTTCTTTTGCTCCTAAATCCCTGAAGGGAAATCAGAAAATCTGGCATTAACTTCTACCAGCGTTTCAAATTCAGCTTATCTGATACAACTTCAAGTTCATATCATCAAACCTCTTATACTTCCTTCTCTGTTCTTATTTCCAATAAGAAAAAGGGATGTCAAATGTATCATTTATTCATACAAAACTATAACAACAGATAAAAAAAACCAAAAAACAAAAAAAAAACAGAAGAAACCATTTTTTTTTTCAAGTGCAAACACCAGTGCTTACAGTTCTTCATAATTTGAGCCAAATAAGCTGCTCCACTGAGAAGTTTGATATAGTTGCCATGTAAGAGCTTGACAGCATTTTTCTAAAGCTGCATTTTGTCCATCACTGTCATATTCTTGCATTTCAGCAGCATAGGCTTTTACAGTTGCTGTAGAGAGAGATAGTGATAATTCAGTTATTTCTTTTGGGACTAGCCAAAAGTCCTGCATAGACATTTTTATAAATATATTTACATAAATGCACATACATACAAAACACAAGTGCATTGCATATATATTTAAATGTGATTATCCTTTGCAGTTATTCCACAAGATTGTGTTATATTCTCTTGCTCTTCGAAAATAAATTTTTCAGCTTTCCTGATTTGCAAAATAGTACACATGTAGCACTTCCTATTTTTTATTCTCTCCAAAAGGATGAATAGTTTCCTTTGGGGAAGGGGGGGGGGAAGAAGGAAAGTTAAGAATTCTACTGCATATCTGCAACACTGCAAGAAGCAATTAAGCAAAATAATTACATTTCTTTCCCATTCCCTCTACTACATGTTTCAATTGAAGAATATACTACAGGAGGCAGAGTTTTCCAATAGCAAGCATATTCACCACTACATCCAGTTATCTCCTTACTGTTTTCTGCCCATACATTAGAGAATTCTTTGACAGACAGGGTCAACTCCAATTCTCTGAGATATTATACATTTCATGAAGACAGAAGAGAATGTGATAAGAGAGACAGATAAACAGAATGCAGTAAGGATAGGAGGAAATTTGTCATTGAGCATATAACCAAGATCTATCCATAGCCAGTGACAGCACAGTAAGACAGAGCCTTCAGAATCACTTCAGGCCCAAGCTCCATTTGCAAGTCCCCACTTCTGACACACAGCAAAGATAGATAGATAGATAAGATAGATAGATAGATAGACAGATAGATAGAAAAACATCACAATAAAGAAATTCACATCTCACTTCTAAATTATCCCCATGCCATTTTCACCCTTGTATGTTCTTTTTCCAATGCACGTATCAGTGAGATTTTATTAAGGATGACACCCAAAGAAAGCTTATTTCAAAGCTGTATCTTCCAGTATTAAAAACAGCAATAGCAATTTCAGATACAGAAGTGTCTGCTTGTCTTCTTTTTTCAGCAGTGGTTGACTTAGAGGACTAGTCCCAATCAAGAAACACTGATTAAACAAAAGATATCAAAGGAAGAGCAACTTACTAAATCCAGTTGCTAATCTTTAAAAGTGTTCTAAAAGATCAATTTAATGCTGAGAAATAATTTACTCTGAAGAAACAACAAGCAAGCAACTCAGTTTTTTCACTAACAGACGTGGATAAAATTCCTCAGGCAAACTGGCCATTAAAAGCTGTTCATTCAGAGAGCCTCACACTTCACAGAAGCTGGTTCATCTCAGGTACAAGCCTGATAAGGTTTTTTGGATCAATTGGTATAAGGTTATTCTTTTTATCTTGATAAAACAATGAAACAAACCAATATGGGCAAGGGGCAGGAAAGAATACACAGCTTTTACCAAGCTTGATTATGTATACACTTTGTAGAAAAAAAATACACATTTGAGGAGATAATGGGAAATGGCAATCTCTTTGCCCTTCCCTGTTCAGCTGACCCAAAATGGTTTCTTTGCCCAGTCAAGTTAGTGCCAAACAAAGTATCAAAATATACTACCATCTCTGTAGTGGAGGTTCACATATGGAAAAGGGCAGAGTATTCTATCCAGAAAAGCCTCAGGAAACATGAACCTCCAATGCTCTTCTCTCTTTGCCAAATATAAATAAATCCTGATTTTCCAAACAGGTAAACTCCTCCAAACCGAGTAGTAGAGTACAGACCATTAATACCATTACCTTATCTGAGTCAGCAGGAGCTGTGCTTCTCAAGTATTCACTTGTCTATGGCATAAAACATTAAATTTCCTCTTCACACTTGCTCACCTTGTCTGGAATCCTGAGACTGCACTGGAGAATCAATCCCATCTTCTAGTAACTGGGAGAGCTTCCTTTTTTTGCTTGATGCTGCAGAAATACTTTTGTAAAAACACATGTTGCATTACTCATTTATAAGTTTAAATATAGATATTACAGAATCATAACAAAAGAACACCCAGATACCTCTTATCTCATTTTAACCACATTGTCATCCAAATTGTGATTTGCTAAGGGAGGAGATTGTTGGTAGGTTTTTAAAACTGAATTATCCAATTTTTTTCTCCCAAAACTTTTTTTTAATGTCACATGAATAAAGAAGTTGTTCCCATTTAAAAAATTTACACAGTGCATAAGTGGCAGGGGTTTATTTTCTTGACCTTTGCATTAAAATCACAGCTTTTATCTTGATTAATTTTACTTTTTACCAGTGAATGTTAGAATACCAGAATATTTTAAATATTTGAGCATCCAGAACACATTAGTGGGTTAATATGGCAGACAGTATATGATTACTGCTTCACTTGCTCACATAGATATGATAATTCCTTTTCTCTTATGTCATTTGCTAGAACACTTACAAGATCCTGATGCACAAATCTCTACAACATGCATTGCAAAACACCTCAATATTTTTATAATCCAGTTATGAAAACCTGTTGATTTCTCATTAGCCTTCTATTGTTTTAAAAATTGAAATGCATTCGTACTTCCAATCTAAACATCAATCAAGAGGTTTTAAAGAAACCTCAACCACAAGTGTCTCAAAAATGGCTAAACACTGCCATCCTGTGGAAAATCCTACACCCCCAGGGACTTAGAACGATTCTTAAGCCAGTTCTCCTGGTTTTTGCATGTCTCACTCTTTGCATAAAAGCTTTATCATTTACCCAGAAATCTGAGATGCACTAGGCTGGAAGTATGAGTAATTAAAACCCAAACAGCTGGAGGATGTAGAATGATTCCATGGAGTCACAGCATTTCCTGTCTTCAGGCAGCAGCCTTGGGAGATGGTGCAAGGATAGCCCATGGCACTGGGGTCAGAGAAAGTCTCCATGAACCCACAGGGAAGCTTGCTGGGTGCCACGACAGATGGGCACGGGAATGGAGGCTGCAGCCCACTGGGCCGCAGAGCATCACACCATGGGGCTGAGGGAAATAAACAGATAAGAAAATAAGAATAAGGAAGAGGAGCTGGAGATCTTCCTACAAGCTTGGGAGAGGCCAAATTCATGTCACCTACTTTGTAGCTGTGGTGGAGAACATGGTTCTGATCCAGAGTCTGGTGGGGAGTCTGGCAACTGGCTTTGCCTAGGGATGAAAAAGATATTTTAATTTCCACTGGAACAAGACATGGAGGACAACAACCACCAATGCTGAAAGCAAGTGCAGGGGGACCACCAGGTTACTGACAAGGTTCTTCAGGAAGCATTGCCCACCATGTTTGCTGCCCCTTCTCACAGCAGCAATGCCACCTACACTTCATCAGACCATCTCCTGTGGCTCTCTGCTATGCAGGAAGGCCTGAATCCCATCCCTTCTCACTCAAATCCCCCCTTCACAACCTGCTGACTTCAATCCTCCTTCCCAAGAGTGGCTCTTCAGTTACCTCCAGGCACACCAGTGACTCTCAACATACAGCACACAAGGGATTTAAGCCCCATTCTCTCTACAGTAAAGGTTAAGGATCTGTGGCATCTTCATCTCTCTTAAGGAAGAGAAAATCCTATGCCATCTCACTGCCATTTAAAGGAGCTACAAAGGGTTCCTCTGTTACATTTGGAATAGATGGAGCTTCAAGAAACGGATTCTTAATCCTTTCAGGTATTCTTATGAATTGTCAGCTCAAACACTGCGCTGAAGCCTGATCTGAAACACAAGTCTTAAATGCATGTTATGCTAAAAATACTGCAGCAGAGGAAGGATGACAGAAGTCTAAAGAGACGTGCCTCCTTTACCAAAGCTGAGTGTTCTTACAGAAGCTGAATAAAATAAAATTCATTAAAGAGACACCCTTATATGCATAAAAGACACATTCATACACACACAGAGCAAATATTTTCAAGCATCAGTGGAAAATTTTCACTCTATGGTTTCCACTTCAGGTTTTGCATTTCTGAGTTTGGATAGCATTAAGGAAACCAGTTTCATTTTTGGTTACAACTTAACTACTTTTGACATGGGCTTGTGCATTTCTTAATGATACTGCTACTGGTCTTCTAACATGCCACATCCACAATCTGCATTTTGAGTTAGCTTCAACCACATGGCTCCTCTTTAAAAAAACTTTTAAAAATTCCACATTAGAATATTCTTTAATTACCTTCAAAATAGGTTCTCTGATGCTTTTAAATACCATAACTACACTCTAAACTTTGTTTTCTACTTTGAATAGTTAATAAATATTTCTTTTATTCTTTTCCTGTGGGACACTTGATCCATATATAATGAATTCCAATTGTGCTTTGTAAAATTTTAAAAGATACATACATAAGTCTAAAACTTCCCTTCTGCATATTCAGTTCATAATCTGGCTTCAAATGTTGCCTTGGGTACCTGATTTCTGCTTTAACGTAGATTATTTCAGTAAAATAGAGAGACAGACACTTTCTAGGAGAAAGTATTTATGAAGAACAGAGGTAGTCGGGATATATCTCCAAGTCAGAACTTTACTGAAACTGATACTGTGCTTTTTGAAGGAAAAGAAAATAATCTGTAGTTTAAATGATTCTACATTACAAACCTAATATATCAATGAAATCTCAATTACATAGTATATCAAAGAAATGCCTACTTAGCAAAAGACCTGGCCAACCTTTTTCTCATTTCACTGATAATGTGGAAGGAGAAACTGTGGAAAAAGATGAGGAAATCACACGGTGCCTCACGTGGTGTAAGAGAAGAATAGATGCAATGCTGATGGCCTTTCTGATGCAAGATGATCTTTAATGGAAATTTCAGGGCTCACCCAAGACCTTGGTGGTAACAGCACCCTTTTCATTGCACATAACATTATGAAGTTCTACATTTGATATGTTTATATGGGGGCTTTTAATATTTTTCTCCTTGACGTATTTTGAAATATTCCTTTATGAGATTCTATTCTGCTTATGCACAAATTTTCTGCACCACATACAATTGCTTAATAATTTGACCTGTACAGATCTAATGATTCAGTAAATTTTCTTAATGCCATAAATAATGAAATAGAACTGCAGCAGTGTAAAATCCTATTCAGCCTCCAAACTCATAATAGTTTTAGAGATGGTTTTCTTGCATGTAAGTACTTTGTAGTACTGTAACTATAATATCTAACTTACTTAATTTACATAATAGCATATATATACACATTTACATTTCTGGGGTTTTTAGCACAAAAGCAAAATAATATTTTAATGTTGTTATACAGGAGTTCAATAATCTTGTTAATCTAAAACACATTTAGTCACTCTAACAATAAAGGTTATGGGTATTTAAATACAACCTTCTCTTTCTTTACTCTACTTTTATAGTGTGGGTAAGGAGAATCAATTCATTATTTAGAGCAGGTAGGAGCCTATTTGGCCCACTTTAAGTAAACATGTGCAGCTGAGTCTGTCTAAAATGAAAAATTCCATGTTTAATTATTTTTAAAACAGCCCTTCTTGCTCTGCTTCTTGGCAAGTGCAAGTGTCAGTCTATTTATTAATAGTATTTTGCCTTGAACAACATCCGTCTGACAGTTGTCTTGATGAAAGATTTAGGGTTAAGGTCTTTGATAGATCTATACTAATTTTCCACCCTCGACTATAAGCCTTTGCACTATGTATCTTTTGATAGTTTTAAAGTGACTCTCAAAAGAGACTGATGAACAGTTTCTGTTCTGAACTAAGTATTAGGGTAAAAACAGTAGTTCTGCTTCCTTAAAACTGGGAGACTTCCATTATTCTCTCAATTTATTATACAGTAGTCTCACTTTTATCACTTATTCTGTACATAAACAGTAAATCAGCACTTACAGGAATGTTAAAGTAACAGCTCTGCATTTAATGTCACCATTAGCTCAATAGTTGTGAATCAACTCAGACTTCATTATCATTTGTTCTGTTGAGTAAGAAGGCAACCATATTTCCATTACTGGCTGTAGTTCATTTTTTGTAAGTCTTCCTATGCAGCTTCAAGAAACAATGCCAAGAGAGCCACAATCCTCTTGAAACTCAGATTTTTTCATGGCACCAATTATAACACTTCAAGAGCTGTGGCTAAGGAGAGGAAGTATATGTTGCTATAATACTTACAAAGTTCCAAACTCTATGTCACTACTAATAAATTCTTCCAACAGGCTTGTATCCACCATGGGATTTTCCAAGGCTCCATGGACATCTTGCCCTAAGGTTAAAAGTAAAAGAGACAAAAATTCAGAGGGAATTGTCGGTGTTTCAGAATAAGTGATGCTGCCAATGGTCCTACACAAAGGAAAACCAAATCTGTCCCGTCTCACGTGTAACAAATGGGTTATGCTTCTGGTTTAGTCACTCTGGAAAAGAATGATGAGAAATGCAGAGCAATGAACAACATGCAGAAGCATGGCAGATGACAGTGCAGCATTGGGCAAACACCACTGAATGCATGGCATTAAGGCTTCAGGGAATTATTACAGCAGGAGGATGAAGGACCTCAGTCTGCAACTGAGAAAAGGGGTTTTGAAGATAATTTCCAACTCTTTTACACTGAGGTCTAAACAGCTGTTGGGTTGAAGCTCAGACAAGGTTGTTTTATACAGATCCACTTGGTGCATTAGTACTCACAAGTACTGCAAGTGAGTTTCTGCTTTAAAACTCCATTTAAAAATGCACCATCTGAGTTAAAAAAAACCTAGTAAAGTAAAACTTTTTTGATTGGTGGCTTCCTTTTATTCTGCCTAAAAAACCCAGCCCACTAACATTTTAAATGTATTATCAAATAGAAAGGTGCAGTACTTTGTCCTTTGTTGCTTAGTAACTGAAGGCTATAAGCAGATTTTATGATTATAAAGTTTCCGGAATTCACGACAACTTTCATAGAAAGTCAACAGGCACTCATTAAAAAACCCAGCCAAGCAGCCCTAGTCTGCAGGCTCCCCACCTTACCCAGCCTTCCATAAATACAGGTGTGGCCAGTCAGAATGCAAACAAGATAAGGACCTTGATATTCCTGCTTGAGCTGCAAGTGCCTCTGTCCCACTTCACACATGATAAAATGGACCAGCCCACACATGCAGAGCTGTGAGGCTCAGCCCTAGAGTCAGACACCAACCATGTGCCCTCAGCTCGGCAGCAGCGAGTGAAAACACAAAAGGTTCATCGCTGCCTCTGAGCCGAGGAGTAGTGCCTTTGGTGCATTTGCTGTCTTCTCACTGAACTACCTTGCATAGGACACTTATCCTAAAATATCTTCGGTTCCTTTTCTGATGTCTTTGTCTGATACCATTCCTTCTTGATCCAGAGTTTAGAAAGAACATTCATGCAAGCAGAAGCTAAAAATCCACCACCTTGCACAGGATTCCCTCATGTGTCTGTCTTAACAAATAAATCCACATTGCTAATAAACATTTCCCAAATTGCTTTGTGATCATAGATTAATCTAGGTATTGTTTACTTGTTGGTGCTTCAGACATAATTTTGACTGCCTTTCACTGGGGGATAGCAACTTAAAGGTGTGCTACTGATAGATCCTCACATCTCAATGCATTGATGTTGTACATAACCCTATCCCACACACACCAGAGAGCAGATTCAATAGGTGCAGCCCACTAGCTTATCTCAGCAAAACTGGAACACACAAATTCTGGAAGCAGCAGCAGATCAATTTGCAAAACCAGATGGAGAGTGCAAAAGAGCCTGGCTTTCCTTAACAGCCTTCCTCAAGCCTGTTGGATTCCCATCTTTTCATTCTTCATGTTTGAATGTAGGGTTCTCCTACCTTGAATTACAAACCCTTCTTTTACTAATGACGTCCACAGAAAAATTATTCAATCACCTTCTCCTTCTTTTACCCCACCTGTTCTTCCTGTTCAAACCACCAAACCCTCATGCAGGATAATATAATTTCATTACTAACTTGAGGCCAGAAATCAAATACAAAATGTTTTTCCTGTACCACACAACCAAGAATCCTTTATTTTGACTAAGATCAGGGACAGGCTCCATTGAATCAAAGAATACAGCTCTAAATCCAACATGGACAAGGCCTTTCAAATGGACATCCCACAGTTCAGAGATCAGCTCTGTTGCTAAGTGATGATAACAGAAATCTCTATCACTTCTTAATCTGTCCACTTTGCATGAACAGCTAAACAGGGAGGAGGAGAATGGAAGAATAAGCAATGCTGAGAGAGGAAGGAAGCACACCAGGAAGACAGGCCACCATTAATGAATGTTTGTGACGCAAGTGCATGGAAGAGTGGGCACATTTTGCTGCCCTGTAGAAGTCAACTTTGTTAATGCATTTTCCAGGTCAGTGGCATCACGTGCTTACACTGGCATCTGTTTCAGCAGAGGAGGACTTGCTGGATCATATGCAAATTTATTGTAAATGGTGTCATTCACTTCACAGGCATTTAATCACAGTAAGTACTTAACAGATATGGGCAGTATGCAAGACAGTCACTCACCTGGATGTTACATGCTTGTAAGAGCAGAGAACTTCGTTTATCTGGCAGGACAAGCCCTGCGGTGAGGCTCTGTGAACACAGCTTCCTGCACAGAACCAGGTGCCTTGCTAAGAGCTGCTGCAGGATATGTGGAGTCAGCAGCCTCAATCATCAGCTTGTGCTCTGCTTGCAGTTCATAGTTCACACTGCAATGTGCCCAGACATGTCAGGGAGAGTCTGCACTGAGTGACCCGTTCAACCTTGGTGTCACTCTGCAGAGGACTACCAGCTACCCAACAAACAGATGAAGGTGAAAGGACAAGGCAGTGGCATGGCACGGTGTTCACACACAGATGTTTGCAGAACACACACTGCAGTCACAGGCTGCATACAACTATATATGACCCCAGCCTCTTAATTTGGCAGTTATCCTTTGGCAGACATTCCCTTCTTTCCTCCAGACAGGAGGCTCTCATCACCTGGCTCCTCAGCTTGACCCTATGGTCCTGTGACCAAGTCTCAATTCCTGAAAAACCTACCTTGACCAATTCTCCCAACACTTTCATGTAGCCTTATGTATCTCTGCATTTGAATCAGCTGCCTCCTTTTCAGTGGTATCTAAATGGAAAGTGAAGGATGGGGGACAGGGAAATAGTATTGACTAAAAATCAATACTAAACTAATAATTTCCTGACATTAGAAGAGGATGCCAGGAAGCTCCTGTCAAATCAACATATCTGTAGTAAGATCAGTGTTAAAATATCAGCTACTTTACACAGGAAATAATCCTTACACACAGCTCAAGGTGTAAAAACAGCACAGAGAACATGGTCAGTGTTCAGTAACGTTTGTTGAACAAATTCATGTGTGCTACAAAGCCTTCCAACTTGACAGATATGTTTCTGCTTGAGAATTAATAACTGATTTCCATCTAGAGACACTTTACCATAAGTCCTTTTTTTTAACAAAAAGAAGCTTCAGGACTTTATGAGCTCCACTATACAGGCTCAATGGAAAGCCCAGCTGAACCTCATTGACTTACACTAAGGTAAATATTACTTATGGGGCTTATAGGCTCTTCTTTCAGGCTAAAGGACTCTTAAGGACTGGTTTATTTAAATTGTGCACAGATGTCCAGCTCGTTTTGACTGGAATGGACTGGTTGTCATTGACACAAGCTGCAGAGCTACAGGGTTTTAAGTATAAATCAGCTGTAGCCAGCCAGGAGCTATCACAGCCTAGGTTATTCAATTTCAGGAAGACCTGTTACTCCAAATTGTAAGGAGTGAGTTTGGGTTAAGATAGACTTTTTTTTCCCCAAGGTAACCTTTTTATAGAAACAAATCTTACCATCGATATTTTTATATTTTTCATTTCATCTTTTATTCTTGTTTCAAGCTCTCATCCTTAAAATGGTATGAGGCACCTCTGGGGTTTGTTTCGTATTTTAAAGGCATGTTTCTTCAGTGGTTTCATTATTTACCACAAACTCTAATCTATATTCCATGTTACCCATGCAGAATCATGACTATACAGAGGTGATGATTCCATTAAGGAAGAGATTTTTTTAGATCACAGACAGCACAGACAAAACACATGCATTTCAGACATCTCAAAGTACCTTACAACAGAGAAGACCGAGTTCAACAGTGCAACTAGGCTGACCTTCTACCAGCTCTCTCAACCCATTGATAACATCAGCAAGAACAGACTGTTCTGCCACACACAGGCGGAAGAGTTTATCAGGAGCTCTGAACTTCCCTTGACAAATAGGAACTTATTGACTCTAAAATTCAAAATGTTTTAATTATAATTATTCATTTCAACAGAAATAATAGGAAAAATCCTGCATCAAAGATGAAATTGCTAATGTGCAAGTGAAATGAAACAGAAAAAAATGAGAACTCGGCTACACAAGACAAAAGCCATTTACTTGAATGAGAAAAAGCCAAGGTCAAATCCCAGAGTCATATCTAATCCAAAAGGTCTATTAACTATTCAAAGAAGTGATTGCCAGGAAAATAAACATTATCTCACTTTCCTTGGGAAAAAAAAATCCTGTTTCAGACTCTCCCCTCTCAATACTGCAGATGCAACTTTGTCTTACTAGTGAGCATCAAAACAAACATGCACTGCAAGGAACTACAGCACACGGCACAGGTGACTCTTTTTGTTCATTAATTTCAAATAATCTTACAAAGCAGATCCATAAATTCATTAAATGCCAGCTGATACGTTTGTAAGCCAAAACTAAACCACTGAGGAACCACTCAATTACACCCTTCTCCACTTGATATTGCAAGATCCAGTTTTTTCATAGCCTTGAAAAAACAAGGTTCTAACACTGCTACAACTAATCACAGGGATCACCAAATCAACACTAGCAATTCATGACTCTTGCTTCATGAGATTTTGCCTCATTGAGGTATTACAAAGCCAGCCCACAAGCTGTAGTGCTAAGCTGCAGAGATGCCACTACTTAGAACTGGCTTTGTGCTCAGTAAATGTAACCACTGCTTGAAAAGAGGGCTAACCACCTCTTCACTTCAGCTTGCTCTCTATAACAGTAAGAGAGCCTACTCCACGCTGAATGAGTGATTAGCTCTTGCAGACTTGACACATGTGTGTCCAGATAATGAAATTCAGCCATCTATCAGCATCACTGCATGCCTTATGGCCTTAGCAGACCTTTGTTCCATTCTAATGGAACACAGAAGAACCACGCATTATGGAAGGGACATGACATCCCAAGGCGTTTCGTTTTTCCTGTAATTTAAAGGAATCAACAGGGCTTCTCCCCCTCACACTGGCACAGACTACCAAAAGATCTTTTAAAAAGAGTTGAAGTAATAATTATGTAATTTAAAACAGTAATTCTCGTTAAAGAGCTCATACAGCTAAAATCCCTACTGCACCTTCTAGCATCAAAGTATCATTGTCACAAAAGTCAACAGAATCTAACCCATACTCCCTAGAAAGTTATGTTTTCCAAGAGGACTCCTAAAAAACGTGCTTTTAATATAATTCATATTCAACACTACTTTAACAGCTATGTAATGCAGCAGTTAAAAAAAAAATAACAAGTATTATGCTGCTGAAAGCAAACGCAAGAATGTTTGTTAGCCTTTCAACTGAACTTATGGAACATGGTATGAATTTCCTACCATTTATACACAACATATTTGCTGGCTAACAGCCCCAGATTGTAGCTCACCAATTTAAATTTCATGGCTTAAATGTATTTCCTTGATCAATTTTTTCACGTCCTAGTTTGAAATTAAAAGTTACAGCTGCCACTTCTCACCCAGGCTAAGAAGGGCAGAAAGAAAACCACAACAGAAAAGATAGTTTCCCAAGTTACTCTGAAATCAGTGAATACCTGCATAGGTAATAGATGGAAAACAAATACAACAAAAGCAGCTTAGAATAGAACAGTTATGTATTAACAAGAAAACAAAAAGCAAAGTGCAAACGGGAAGAAGGAAAAGAAAATACCTAGTAAATAAATATAAAAGTAAAAAGCCTTTGAACATATTATCAGAGTCTAAAAAATGCAGTTTTATTATGGAATCTATCAGGAAGTGAATTCTAAATTAAGAGAAAGTGATGAAACTAACTGGACCAGCTTGAATAGAAAATATCTTGGAGAAAAATACAGGACAGATGATCCCAGCCAAAAGACAAAAATATCCAAGCTTAACTCCTCAGAAGGTCCTGAGGATAACAACACAATAACCACTTTAACAATCAGAATCAGGCCATTTCAGAAGAACGTTAGTGGAAAGAAAAGCCTCTTTACCCGACATGCTAGAACTGAGAAGCAAGTGAGATCTCTAACCACATGAAAATCACTAACATTTCAGAAGTGTTACGTAGCAATGAGTCCTCAGTCATTTCCCAGTTTTTCTTCAATGCAATTACTTCACCCATACTGCAGGCTTTGATGGAACTGCCTTCTCTTTTGGTACTCTGGCCAAATCACAAAGAAAAAAAGCACTGCAGTACATCTGTACTATTTGTAATACTTTATTCTGATATTGTCTTCTTAGTGTAAATACAGCTTTGGGTTTCAGAGCACTTTTTCTTCCTCCTTTCCTCCTCAATTACCCCCAACAATTACTGGTTTTGCTACCACCAAAAATTGTTAATGCTTCTCTTGAAACTAGTCTTACCTTCAAAGAACTGCTGCAAGGCCTCATTTTCTCCCACCACATCCATGAAAACCCAGGAGAAGTGTTTTGCTTTCCTACTACTTGAAGAACTCCTGCTGGGACAAATGCACTCTCTTCCAGATTATTACAAACATGCCAAGGAACACACCACGGTTTTGTCAAAGGTTTCAATGCTTTGTCCCAGCTGATTTCATTCCTCCATAACTAGAGTCAGGGTTATACTTAGGCTTTACATAAAGGATTTAAACTACACTTAAATGAGAATCTAACAAGGCTTTTGAGGCAAGATGATGTGGGTTCTAGCCATCCAGTAAGTCTAATGTTCTCGTTTTAAGGACCTTTGGTCCCAGTACTAATTACACATGCGCAAAAATGCGGCAATAAAAATTACTTATCTTGTCTTTGTACTTTCACACAGGTCATGTAATTAGCACTACCGATGAAAGCAGTTAGTAATACCAATGAAAGCAAGAGTAATCAAAAATGCAAGAGCAAAGCCATCACAAAGCAAAAAGAGCAAAGCCATCATAGAACTTCTATGTTGTTACTATTATTGACAAAACTAAAACACACATTAGCCTGTTTGTCTAAGTTAACATTGGAAAGCACATGGGAAAGCAGAACATGGAACAAAGCTCTTTTAAGGCTAGCACCAAATGCTACTTCACTTTCTTTTAGTCCAGCTTTAAACACTGAAAACTGCCCATTCTGTCACCACTAAGCAAACAGGAGAAAAATACTCAAATGTTTTGAGTAGACAACTAAAAAAGGCATTTGGTTATGGACAGAAGTGCCAATGACGTCTGGAATCAGGATGTTTTTGAAAGTAATTAGATCCACCAGACAAGTAGCTGTTGACCAATTTTTACAAGCCTCAGGCACTCACAGTGACACAGGTTTCTAATGATAAATAGCTCATATGAAAAACAGAATTTTGGAGTAGGGACATGAAGATGGAATCAGTCAATTTACAAGATGTTGATACAATTGAGCCCAACAGTTGTTACTACTGAAATGCACTACATGGGGTACATCTTTATACAAGAAAATCACCTCGCATAATACATTTTGGATACTACCATGTATAAGAAGGATCCCTTTCTCTGCTTAAATGAGCAACAGGATATTGTTGTTGTAAAGGTATTAAGTCAGAACAGCACCAGCTACTTGCTACTATTTGCTTACTGTTAGCTAATAATGGAAACAGTTCTCATTATTTAAACTAAGGATTAACAAGTATTTAGGAAACATTTATAAGCCAAACATAAAACATTAATACCAATAAATACAGCTTGTTTTCTAAGAGTGAGTCAAGTCAGACTTCCTTAGCATTATTGAATGGATAAAGAATCCTTTAACAACTGCTGGTAGAATTATTCCAGGTTTGTACAACAGCAAGTAGTACCCAGTGAGGGGAGACTGAGAAAAGTATTCCCTCATTAATAAAATAGCCCAGGTTGGACATACATATTCCATTACTAATAATACCTAGGTTCAGTTGTTTGCTTTTACCTCAACATTGAAATGTCCATCAAAGCCAACATTTGCAAAGTGTTTTCACGTATATACAAGCAGCACAAGCATGGTATTAAATTTCACCGCTCATTCTATTGACTTCTCTGAAAACTGAGTACACTGCAGCAAGACAGTGATGAATAGTGTTGGTTTTGTTCAGCAAAGAGATCTGTACCCACTGAGATGCTTCTTCTTAAAAAACCAACTGTATAAGCTCATCTTCTAGTCAGTTTACCTGTCAAAGTTTTAACCTTGTGTGCAACTAATGAACAGTTATCAGGACTGAGATCCAATGTTTTTTCCAAAAAGGCAAGTCTACTGTATACCCACAACCATATTCCTTCTAATATCATCAACTGTCTGCTTTCAGCTGAGACAATGCTCAGGAAAAAAACGATCACTTGAACTTCAAGTGCCAAGGAAGTGCAACAGAAAAAGCATCTCTTAAGAGGCAAGGATCCTTTTTTGGGGTTCTCTGACACCATTTTTTTCATACACACAAATTGTAACATTATATGGAAATTATCATCAGCATGTTAATGAAATCACATAACAGAAATTCCCCAGTTTCAAGAACAACCATAGGGCAAATGATGTATAAGACACTGAAAACTGGAAATCCCAGAAGAGTGGGAGAAAGATCTAATTTAAAGAAATGAAAAAATTCTAGTGAAAGAAAATTAGAGGGAATGAGAAAGGTTTCAGCAGTCATATAGGGGTCAGAATAGATTTCTAACCAAAGAGAAAACGAGATAATTTTATTGTTCCTTCATATTTGAGAAGCACCTTTCCTTAGTGAAAAGACTCAGGTTTATTGTGCTGTGACTCTACACTATATGTGTTTCTCTTCTTACATACATATTTTTAAAAATTACAAGTATAGAAAAGCAGCAATGCAAACAATTCCAAGTTCTCCCAGATGTCTGTTAACTGTACTGGCATATATACATAGAGAGCTACATAAGTGCACCTAAACACTACACTGAAAAAAATACCAGGCATTTATTCACTCTCCGTAAAATCAGTTTTACATATTGAAGTGTCCTACTGGGGAGGTTCACATCATTCTGCATCACAAAGAACAGAAGACAGAGACTGTTTCAGATTAACACTTTAATCAGAAGTCTTGTTTTTAAATGTAAATTACAATCACTAATACACCTGCAAGTGTTTACCACATTTGTTCAACTAAGTGTTATATGTACGCATATACAGCATAGGTCAGTTTAAAACAATCACAGTACTTCTTAGTGCCATCTGCAAATGGAGAAAGATCTTGGACCCACTTTGTGGAAATAAATATCAAGTGACAAAAAAAGGTTCAGCAATTTTAGTTATGCATATTCAATGAAGTTCATGCACGCGCAAGAGTAAAAAGTTTTAGAGCTCTTCTTTGTAATAGCCAAGTTTTGCTAGTGACATCTCTCGTCTCAGCTGCATAACTTCCCAGAACATCTGATCCACTAAAAAAGACAGAAATATCATTAAATATACCAAATTCACTTTTTTTTTCAACTGATGTATTGAGGCTGCCTTACTCTACATTTGTTTAGAGGAACTTCATAACAAACATCTGATAAAACCAGCATTAGCATGTAAAGACTAATTGTGTTGGTTGTGACAAAATTTGTTCAAGTGCATATTCTAAACATTCTAAATGAGAGTTCTAAGAAAAATTCTTCAGATTTTAGATTTCTTTAAAATGGAGAACAGAACTATATCAGTACTTCTTTTCAGCTTCAATTAATTGCAGTTTCTTATTTAAGCTTCCCTGCCCCTTGGCTCATTTTCTGTGAAACTAAGTGACTCCAAAAGAAAAAAGTAAAGCTTGTTGAACAAGAATTGTTTCATCAAATAATCTGTAATTTTTTTTATAATTATGACATTTATAATCTTTCTTGCTCCCCTTTTTTTGTACATTGATCTGCTAGCAAAAATAAACTGGGTAGACGAGACCCTTTTTTCTTATTTCATCTGTATCTTCCTAAATGTGATAAGCTTAATGCACAGCTTATGCTTCTAGACGTCACAGCAATACAAATCAAAATCATGGGGCAGTCAAGATCCTGATGTAGAATGTCTACAAATATCATTAACCTGAACAACAAGCACGAGGTCTTCCCTACCACAGTTCAAAAAACACTTTTGTAAAAGTGACCTCTGTCTTAAAAATTATGTGGCGCATTAGTAGAAATGCACGCAGCACATTAAACAGACAATTATGATGAGTGCCTACATTTTTGTGAATGTAATGTTGAAATCCTTATATAAAGCTAAAAATGCAAATTCTATGTTCTAGTGGTTAAAATGGCAACTGAGCTGAAACACCAAACTTTCTTTTTACAAACTTCTTGAGAAGAATACATCAATCTGATAACATTGAGTGTTTTATATGAATTTTAAAAATCCATTAAGTTTTTTATCTCAATAGCAAATTAAACAATTTTTAGTTGAAACTTCACAGGTCCTTTTGGTCAAAGTAAAAGCCTTTTAACTACAAACCATATTAAAACTTAAATAACGATTTTCAAGATCTTCAGTGATATTAGTAAATCAGTAAAAATTACCACCATCTGAAGGTTTTATGAACATAATTAAGTATAGGAAATAGCTGAATTTCTGGTGAATTCCATGACCCTTTAACATTGAAAATTAACAGCATTATTTTTTGTAAGTAAGTCTATCTATCACCTCAGGAGTACTTCAGGTTAGAAATATTTGGGTGTAGCTAAAATCCTGAGCTCTTGAAATTTGGAAACATCAGGAAGAGATGACTATAGGTGAGGTAGCAAAGCAGGGCTAATTCTAGCCAAATTCTTGATGAAGCAAATTCACAGAGACTTGAAAACTGGAATAATGAAATGCACAGACATCCATAAATATTACAATGTTTAACTGTTTTACTTTACTTTCAAAAATGCAACTGAATTAAAAAAATTTACATTTTCACACTGAAAGCAAAGATATTAATTTACTACTGACATAGTGCTAATGACACTTTTTCCACTAACTATGCTTACTATTTCTGGGAGCCTGAGTGATATGACCTGTTTAAAAAAAAATTTGGACTGAAAGCTGTTTGGCAATATTTCTTTACCTGGACTGGAAATACAATTAAATCAATTGTGCGCAGTTTAAACACAGTCAAATCATCTTCTGTTCCTTTTATAGTGATAAACAGGTAATAAATGGTCTTGAAAATGAAGACAAAACAACAAAACTGCACCACCGACATGCAGTATTTTTTGAATTCCAGAATTAAGTAATTAGGTGCACTGTGAATATGTTTTCACAAACATCTTCTTTTATATGGACATATTGGAACCACATAGCACAGATAAGCAAATTTCTGAATTACTGTGCAGACACAGTTTAAATAAGCAGCTGTTTGGTCATTCTGACATGACCAAAGCAACTGGGTAACAAAGGTAGGGAACCCCCCACAAGCCACAGCCTGAAGCAATGGCAGTAAAAAACACATTTCTCTTTTGGGATGGAGGGTGATCAAGCCTTACATTTATAATCAGAGCCCTAATCAAGATTTGGCCATGCCACTGCAATGATCTCATTTCTCAGCTGCACTCAGATGAATGATTACAGGTTTTCTGCATATATAAAAGGTTATCTGTTTACATTTTGCAATTTAAGCCAAAATATTGTCTTTCTTGCAAGCTCCTCCTGAAAAAACAGTCTGACAAGAACAGCTATCTCAATTGCCACTACACAAAACACCAAGCTAAAGGAAAAATGGCCCAGATCAAACCAAACTTAAGTTTTTTGTATCCAAACTACCTCCATATTCTGGGACAAAGATTTGATTTTTGATACTGTGTGGAAAAACTGTGTCTAACTCCTCTAGTTAGATTTTGTTTTAACATTTCTTATGTAGAAGAGGTTTTTAAACGGACTGAAAACCAATGCATTATAATTCGTTGTTTTAAAAAAATACAGTATTGGAGAGTGAAATATCATCCCATTCTCAAAATTACAATAATGACTATAAACTGATAACCTGTAATGTCAGGTCACAGCTAGCAACTTTGTTGCACTGAGAGGACCTTTTAGGAACAGGCACTATGCAAATGTCTCTTTATGTAGGTCAAATACAATTTTTTTATACTCACCATCTTGCTGCTTCAACAGTCCTTGCTGGATGTATCGAATATATGTAAAGAAGTTACACACAGAAGTGATCTAAACTCATAAAAATAATGGTGGTTAATGTAAATTTGTATAGAGGTATGGAAAAAGTAGCTAAATAACCACTATACAAAATTAAATCATAGTAAATCTACTTACCCTGTAACGGCAGAAAGGAGAAATGTAGTAATAATTGCTTGAATCTCCTAATTTGATTCTATGCTTGCATGACTTACTTTGTCCACTGAGAGCACATTTCCTACAAATATAAAGGTCACATGATGCAATAAACAAATTTGACAATAATGTCTAAACACATGCATGTGTTTATGGTGTTAATGTAACTGTTTCATAGTGGCACAGATAGATGATTCTCGATCTTCATTTTACAAGCTGCAATTATTCCATTATGTTACCAATTATTTTAGCTCCACAAGGCCTAATTTAATTTCAATATTGGTGCATTATGATGCTTTTTTTGAATTCTAAAACTTCCTTCAGCTCTGGGAATGCACTTTCATATTCACTAATTTAAACTGGCTTGACAATTCTGGCATAGGATATTTCTTTAATTACTTCTTGATATGTCAAATAAACATTTTTAAAATTTATCGGTTAATGCCAAAATTTAAACAGTTTTTTTTTAAGTTCTGCTTGATATTGTATTTCATTCTAAAAAAAAAAATCAGCCCCACAGAAGAGTAGTCTTCTGAGAAGCATTTTTAATCCAGTTTTGCATTTATGCCCAAATTGAAATCATATTGTACATTCAAAGTATAAAATCTTTTGGGACAAAGGAAAATGGGCAGTCTGGCAGTAATTCTTTCTGTTAGCATTACAAAAAGTGAGAGCAAAATAATTAAATTTACTGCCGATGTATTCCAACTATGCAGTATTCAGGAAAGGTCATTAGTCACCATAAACTGTTCCAAAAAAAAAAAACAATTTAGGAAAACAATGAATTTTTAAAGATGAGAAGAATTTGATTTATTTGGAATGTCTGTATTATAGGATCTCAGATGAATTGGGTTGTCATGGCAACCACTGTTTCATTAATTTTAAAAGCTGCTGGTTCTTCTTTCTCCCATTCCTACCTCATGAAACTGGGGAGTCTAAGAATAAGCTGTCTTTCAAAAGTGAAACAAAAATTACTAAGCCTCTGTGGTTCTGAACACTGGTGCATCGGCCCTTTTAAATTGCCTGCAGCTGGTCCACAGAACCATGTAAAACAGGAGAAAATTGAAGTGTGTATACGATTTTCCATAGCAATTTATGAGGACTGACAGCAGTTCATTGATACAAGAAATCCTAAAGTAGCTGAAGCAAGCTGGATCACAATTTCAGTCTAGCTTTTGTCAGAATACAAACTTTCAATGCTAGGAAAATAAAATCCTTTTTTTCTTCTGGTTACATAATTGCCTCCTCTATGTTGTCTTCCATCACATCAGTTAAATGCTGAGCACTCCTGCTGGTGACTCAGTTTCGTGCTGTACAGCACACACAGCTCAGTGCTTTGTTCCCCACAGGGACAATTATGTGAATCTTCTGGGGAAACCCAGCTGTCTTTTGTTAAGGCAGCACTCACTACACACCATCACAGTTACCATTCAGTAAATTCACTGTATTCAGAACCTTTCTGTACTACTATCACAGCTCTCTGTCCTCCACTCCTCACTATGCTATTTAGGCTGTTACCCACTATTTTATCCATCTGCTCCCTCTCACGAATGTACAACAAAATGCAAATATACAACAAAATGACTTCTTTTAAGAACGTTGCTCTAGCTTTTTTTATTGTGTATTTTCAGACTGTCTATATTAAGTTACCCATTTAAGATGATCGTTTCAATTAAACAAGCGTTTTGCACCATATGAAAATAAAAACCTGAAACTGCTACACTGATTCAGTGAAAACTCCAACACCTGCTTCCCATTCAGTGCCAGTAATAATATATAAGGCAAAGCACAATTGCTGTCAAATTACACTTAAATACTGCAGATTCCTTACCTATTACTTATCTACAAGCAGCACCACTGAAGTTTTTGTTGGTACAGAAGAGTTGGAAAAGGAAGAAAAGATTTTGCCTGACCTTTTGGTATATCCAAAGTAACTAAATTATAACTCGTGCATTGTCATCTCAAAATATTAATCTTCATATCTCGCCAAATATTTAAGGATTTTTTATGTTCTGATTTAAAAGTTATCCTACACTGCAAAAAACAGGTTAAAAATCTCCAGAAATGTCTGAATGATGCAGCTGAGTCTCCTGCCTGGCTAAGTATTTCATCACATCAAAATGTAGCAAAGTTGCTTGAACCACAATGAATTTAAATCCATTTGCCAGTAGTTCTTTAGTGACACATGACTTGTTTCAGTGGCTTCTGACTGTCCAGATTCTCTAGTGCTTTCATGGAACATGGCTTACAGTGGCAGATCTTAGATAGGAATTCACTACCCTTTGAGTAGCTCCATTACTGGTGTGGGCCCTTCTGATGAGAGGCTGCCACAACTCGAGAAGTGTTCTAGTGATAGGAGGAAGTTGAAAAATATTTGAATGCTTGAACTTTGCAGGATAAAAGGGATCAAAGACTAAGTAATAAAACACACAACATATAAACCTGCTTCTTTAAAGAGAAAATAAAGAATTTTGAGATGTGTCAGTTGCAGTTTCTCTTCCACTCAACAGAGGAAAAACAAAGATTAAAAAGCAATGGCAATGAAAAAATCTTAGAGCCAGATGAAAACATTTTGATGCTCTTTCAAATCAAGTATTACAGACTAAATCGCCAACTTGTCCAAAATACCTCCAACAGAAAGGTCAAGTCTTTCTCAAGACTTGGAAGGCTTCAGATGAATATCCAGACTGACTTTGCTTTTTTTACTCCGACATGCACTAAGGCATCCTACAATCCCTTTCCTTCTCCACATCAAAGCCCCGGTGCCTCAGGCAAGTTGCTCCATCCAACTTCAATGTTTGTATCACTACCTGACAACAAGTCTTGCTTCACATTTCTCTAGAACTATTCCAGAATTTTTAAAATACACTTTGAATGACAGGAAGGAAGGTTATTTCCTACTTCAGGCTTAAACTCTCATTCATCTTCTTTCCCACTTACATTCCTCCTGCTCAAATTCAGAGGATTAACTCTGTATTTTTCAAATATTTCAGCTACCTTTGTCAGCATCCTACATATGTCCTGAATTTTTTATGCCACAAGTATTCCCAATGTCATAAATCCAGCCTGTACTACTACAATACCTGTTTCTTTCATGCTGCTTTCCAGCTGAGAGCCCTCAGCTCAAAACTATCTGGTTTAAGTATCAGAATGGTCTTTCTTCTCCAAAGAGGTGAGTGTTACTTTTGGGGTTAATGCATCAAAACAAGCAAAAGTCAAGCTCTCCCCAAATGATAGGGTTTGTTCTATTTTAGGTGGTGGTGTTTTTTTGAAGTTTCATTTATTAGCTGCTTACTTTCCCACAAAATTTGTAACAATAATCTTCAAGTCTTAGATTTTAGGAAATTTAAGATACACAAATTTGACTGAGTAACCAGTTGACAGCAGTTTTCTCAAGCCAAGAGATCTCAAATGAGTCAAGATTATCACCCTGTGTTAGCTCAACATACTTTGGTCCTCCACATTCAACTGCAGAAGCTTTCACAAATCGAACAGGTTGCAAGCCAACAGGTTCAATGCTCAGAGTGTTGTTTTCAACAGCTTCCAGAACAGCTGAGGCCAACTGCAAGAGAAATTTAGAAAGCAGTTAAAAACAGCTCTGCTTCATCCATTGCCTCAAAGCAGTGATATATTTCTTCTTCTGGAAAGTTAAGAACACAGGGTGGGGAGGGGGAAAAATCAACCCACCAAACAAAAATTCAATTACAAATAAGATTTCACTTTTCTCATGAGCAAGTCATTTCCAGGCTCCTGTTTAAATTCTGCCCTACAAATAACCCTGCCTTGCCCTGAGGCAACCTAACTTCCTCTACAGCCAGGAATGTAGTGAAGTATGTTTAAAACACTAACTTTATTTTCAGCCTTTCCTCAAACAACCAAACAGCACATGTTTTTGTACATGCTACACACTTGTCAGAGACTGAATATGGCACAAACTGTATTTTAAAAAAATTGGTATAATTTTATTGTGTTCTATGAAAAATACAAAAGTGTGCTGCATACATCTTTATCTTGAATAAAACAAGTAAATATTATGCCACCGTTTTTCAGCTAAAGATAGCTCTAGGAAGGTGTTCACACAAGTAAGACTGAACAACATATACGAACACCAGTTGCGACTTTCAAACACTAGTCTACTTAAAGTGCAACTTGGCTCAGGTTTTTTATGTTCACTCCTTATAAACAATCATAAGACACTGGAAATGTGACCATTTTGTTTGATTGGACTGAACACTTGCCCAAGACCACTGTTTCAAGTAATAGCCATTACCTGATTTAAAAAAAGATGCAACTTACATTACTAATGAAATAATTTTGTGCCAAGTTTCCTTCCTATTAAGTGATAAAGATATTTTTTCTATTTTACCTTGATTATTTTAAGACCAGAATGTTACTATTAAAGTAGTTCATATGGAATATTCTCTCTGCCATCTCCCAAAAACACAATACTACACATACTCACAAGAGGCTAAGAGTTAATGTAATATTTCAGCCATTCACATAACTGCACTTTTAATTACTCAAAAACACAATACATGTGTAATTTATTATTTGGTTTAACTGCACACTAGCCTATCAATAGCCAAGTAAAACAAGAGTTAGTCACTACACACAGCATCTGGAAACAATGAACAGTGTAACTGACAAGTGTTAGAAGCCTCATTCTTCCCTTAAAAGGCAATACAAATTACAGTAATTAGATTACCAGTAAAGAACAAAATCCAAAATTAAGTTGCTGCAAAAGACAACAGGATGGCCTACCCACATATACTGCAGAAGCAATTTAATTCCCATAGTACCAAATAAACTCTTTAGTGGTAGAGGTTCATATGATGCTGTACACCAACCATAACAAACTGGTATACAATTAACTAAAAGACTGCATGTGCTTATGGCCAGCAAGTAACAGTAGATTAAAAGCATGGGAAAAGAACATAATACATCCTGAAAACAACAGAAAACATTATGAAGAAAATGTAGGATTTTCTATGTGAAGTGTTTAATTTTATTGGGAAAGAATATTAATACTTAGGACTTTAAAATTTCTTGTTCTTATTTTTATAAAAATCTAGTACACTCCTTTTTTCCCTACTGACCAATACTACAAGTACAGTCTGTAAATGGTGCTTAAGAACAAAAACTAAGTAAAGCAGTTGGATCTGTAATAAGTTTCATGTTATTCCCAGGATAGGAAAAACTCCAGTCTTTCCTTTGCATGGGAGAATGTGGGGGGAATAACACAAGGAAAAAAGTCTCATAATCTGATTCCTCTAAAACCATATTTACCAACTGCCCCTGTTGAATCTGAAATCCCAAAGTATAACTCTTGTAACTCAACCCTCTCTCCAAGAAAAGGCCCAGACTATGCTTGCAGTCGGCTCTGACTGATAGGAGAGCAAATCAGTCCACAAAATTAAATACATTGGTCTCTACTGCCCCCTATATAAACAAGAGACAGAACACAACTTTGACACGGTATTTGAAGTATCAGGAAGAAAAGTTCCATCCATTCCTACAAAGATCAGATTCTAACAGACAGAAGTAATATTTGAAGAAGTAGACTTAAAAAGGCCCTATCTGGAAGAGCATAAATTGAATGGAATAGTGAAGAAAAAAAATTGTCATTTCAATACTTCAGACCAAACTTTATTAGGACTTCACTGTAATGAAGCAAATGAAACAAAAATGGTTAAACTTCATACTGAAAACAATATAGTAGTCTTTTGGCTCCATGTAATATATTTAAGTGAAAGATATCAGTGAGCACATTTAGACCATTTCCATTACCTCACTTTTGGAGAAAGTTAAACATGGAAAAATATCTTCCCGATAAATTTTGTCCAAGAAAGGACATGTTCTGTCCATAGTAGGCTCATCCTTCCAAGATCTGAAGTCATTGTACAGAGACAGGTCAGCCTAGAATACACAAGGATTCACATATTTTATTAATGTAATTATCACACTAGTGTCTATCACTTGCAAATATCCACAGGTAAATAATAAGAATTAAAATGCTTTCTATTGTAATGTAAAAATTGAAAGAATGTAATGTGCAAATTGAAAGAATGCTACCACAGTTCAGCAACAAATACCTTGTTAAATCCACTTTCCTAAGCCTGTAAATTCAAGCAAATGAAAACATACAATTCTCAATACACGGAGATAATGCATCCACTTTTGCCCTGTTTAAATTACTTCCTGGAACTACAATACACATATACTCCTAAAACTATAGAAAGGATGTGCACTGCAGGAGAAGATAGCCAGGATGTGAATTTAAAATTTTGTACAATTAAAAAAATACAGGTAATGAAATGGGGAAATAGCATATACTAAAAATTGATTTTTTATCCTATTTAAAAGATCAGTATACTGCTTTGAACCAACCTCTTTTCCATTCCCCATGCATCATATCCCTTCTCAGTTCTCAGCACTTTGCCCTTCTTTTACATGTATGTTTGGGGAGTTCTTTCATCACTTTCAGGTTTTTTTGATTAAACTTTATTCTTTTTATTTTCTTTTTTTTTCTTAAAAAATAACCTACAAAAATTAGACTGGAAAATTTGTTTTTCATTAGAGCCACTTGCATTACACTCAGGTACAACCAGGAACAACTATCTTAACTAAGCTAATCCATAAGTGTTGTGTTGCTAAGCCACCAACTTCATTGTACAAGTGGAATTCAATACGTGTAACTTGCTCCCTAAAGGAACATTTCCCATAACTTAGACTCATCTCAGTCTGGCTTTAAAATTAATACAATCAAGAGATACCAGTAGAAAAACATCCATCTTTTATCTGTACTCTAGAATTCCAAAAATTAAGATGCATTTCTTATTAACTTTTTTCTCGATTTACTCAATTTTACTCAAACCTACAGCTTATAAAGAAGCTGCCTGGAAAAAAATTGTTCAGTGACCACAGCTTGATGATCTTAATTTTCAATCTACAATGTGTAATACATGTGTATCTCCTCCCTGCATTTACATATGCTTTCACTAGATCCCAGTTTTGATTACCTGAAATTAAATATACAGTTAAATGTAATAATAATTCTAGTTAAATTTTTTATTCTTTTATTACAGTAAATATGACATCAGCAAAATATCTCAGCTCTTGAACAACAGTGATGTATTTATCAACATTTCTGGTGAGGGGATACTACCTATCTGCTTAAGATCTGGGCAGCTATTCAGCTTATCTCAATCTTTTTCATATCTAAATTCACTAGACATGTCTATTTATCCTAGAGGTTACTACCATATGCTAGGAAATATTTCTCTGGGATTTTGGCAGCTTTCTAGCTCCACTGCAATTTAGGGTGGACAGCCAGATACTCGTGACTCTGTCTACATTCCACAAAGAAATCTGAGAGCTGACCTGTACTTACACCCAGCTCCATCCACAACACGAAGCTACAGGTGGAGGACTCTGCAAAAGTGTCCAAAGCTATTGGCTCAGGGCCAATACACAGCCCTGAGCAAAGGTACTCTTGAACCCCTTTAGAAGTCAAGGCGCTCAAAATCAGAAGGATAAGATCCAAAGAGTAACAACTCAGTGGCACAAACAACCAATAAGGGGACTGAACCAGGGTTGCAGACCCAAGCTCCAAGAAATGCAAAAAAAAATTACCTTGGAGCAGCTACAAATAAAACCAGCAAACAAAATGACAAAGCACTGGATAACAGGAACAGCTTGGAAAGCATGTATCCCCTACTTAAAACAATGTCCTAACTACTGTGCAAAAGGCGCTCTTGTTTTTTTCATCCCATTCTACGTTCCATTAAATACTCCTGCTCAGAAGAGAGATAAAAATATTCAAGTCACAGTGGGTGGAAAATCCCTGTGTTTCTTAGTGATTCCCTGGGCCACCACTGGAGGAAAAAGTCACCAATTTGAGCAGCCTTGAAGTGTCTCCTTATGCAGCCAACAAAAAGGTGAATTAACTAAAGAAAAGTGTCAGGCAGACTGGTTCTTCTGCAGCATGTCCTCCACGACTACCACCCTCTCTTCATGAGAAACTAAGGCAAAACAGATTACTCTGGTCTCTCACTCTTGCCCAACAGTTAAAAATTTCATTGAGCCATGACCCTGGTGGGATGTTTACAAAGTAACTAGATTCCATTCCAGTCCTCCCCTTTTCTGAAGGGCAACAAGGATTCAGTTCTAGTAAGGAAAAATCCTGGATACCACTGAAAGTGGGCAAGCAGGTTGTAAATAATCTAATTTTTTTTTAGTATGAAACACAAACTGGAAGATGTCTTAATTTTCTAGGCTTATAGTTAAATGGTGTCCAGTACAGATGCAATTAATGATGACTAGCAAAATAAAGTATAAAGATCCAGTCAGCATATTACCCCTCTGACAATAGCCAGCAGTCACAGAGCTGGCTGAAGAGACATCTGAGAGGAAGTACACTCGTGTACTCTTTTACAGCCTCCAGACTTCTAGCAGTCTGTAGCTAAAGAAGCTTGCTAAGCCAAATGTCATATCTGTCTTCTATATATCCTGAGAGGCTTTTCTTTTGTCACTTTGCATGATTTTATTTTGAACATATTTTTAATCTTGCTTCCTTGTGACAACATTTCATTATGTACTGACTAAAAATTATTTTCCTTTTAGCTTCCAGAGTTCTCATTAATTGATTAATGATTGTTCATCATTCATCTTCCCCATGCCACCTGAGATTACAGAGATTTTTCTTCTACCTCAAGTATCTTTACACAGAAATCTTTTTGTTAGGTTTGACTATGTCACACTTCCTGGTATTTTCAGTGTCCTTTCTGAGATGAATATATCATAGCTGCATATACAGAAACACTCTCATTGCATGTTTATACAGCAGTATAATACTTCTTCTGTATAATACTTCTATTTTTGTTATTTATTCCTTTCCTAAGAAATGTACGTATTTGGCCATCACCGAACACTGAGATGGGGTTTTAAGACGATGATCAGCAAGGACACAAGGCTTTTTCCAGCACAATGTAGCTCTGTCCAAGTTCACAGCTGCAAGCTTGCTAGTTGAATTTCTTTCCTAAATGCCTCATTTCTCATTTACTGATTTTTGGATTTCATCTGCTGTTCTACTAACCATCCAGTAAAATAAGCTCCTTCTCAACACTTCAGTCAATTTTTGCTACTACCATTCCAAGGACTCAAGTACCAACCCCTTGCCTATTATTTCCCTATTTTCAGTGACGTGAGTAGATTTAAAAAACAAGCAAATAAACCAAGCAAAAAAAAAACAAACAAAAAAACCCCCACACAGGCCCCAGGATTCCAGTGACTTGTTCTCTAATTACTGGCCTCTTTCACTCACTACTGATCTGTAAAATTCTTCTTCCTCTTTTCTATCACAGTTTATACAACACTTATGAAAGTTTATGAACCTTCAGTAATGGATTTCATTAAAAAGCCACCAGAAGTTATCATTCAGTTCTATTTTTTGGTTTTGTTTGGAATTTTTTTAATCACCACATGCAATTCCAGTATTTGAAATCTAATCTCGTCTTCCCTTAATGACTTAGAGGTAAATAAGACTTGGAAAAATCACCACCTATTGTTATATAAGGAAAATTCTTTCATTAATGAAAAATATCTCTAAGATAGGAAGCATTAAATGAATGTTTAAGATATAATCTATTTATTGTGAGTAAAACAAAGCAAAGCCAGTTTATCAGCAAAAAGAGAACGATCCTTATACATTACCTCTTTACAGTCTTTTACAATTGGCTGCATCATGGTAAGATCCTGATGACTGCCACCCATAGCACTGCTTGTACTCTTGTTTCTTGCATGGCCTTTTTTAAAAGGAGTTCTTCCACCAGACTGGAAGTCCTTAGTTGGAGATGTCGGTGAAGTAGACAGTACTAGTGTTTTTAGTGCTGCTACTTCAGCCTGGAGGACATCAATCTTCACGGGGCAGGGGAGAATAAGGTCATTAACAAACAGAAAATGTATTAGTTTATAAATACGTTAAATCAATTAAAAACATCTCCAGCTACCTTGGTGCAAATCAAAACTTCATCTTCCAACAGCACTAACACACAGATGCCTAGGCAATTGCATATTGTAGTAGCACTGGCTTCCTATGCACCTTGCTGGCTGACAGGACACTGAAACACTGTGTCCATGAGTGTTCACGAAGAATATGTCAAGGAACACAAAACAACTGACTACATATTCCAAAAATGTATACAGGTAATGCTCTATCTACATATATGATTCACACTTGGATTTAAAACCATGTGAAAATACAAAGCAAACAAGTTGGAGAATAACTCACCTTTCCTTGTGCTTCTTTTAACTGTTTTTCTGCTGCAGCTTGTTTGACATTTGCTTCTTTAACCATTTTGTGTGCTTCCTATAAAAGATGTTTAACTAGTGTAAATGCTTCACACAAATTTAAAAAATCCAACAACTAATGACATTTGCTTCATGAAGACTACTTGTGACTACTATGACGTGCAACAGTCTGAAATGAAATAGCTACATTAAAAAAAAATCCCTACAAACCTATGATTTTGATTCATCATTGGCCAACTAAGGCTCTCCTTGGTCCTGAGCCCAGATTCAGAAATTCAGCAAGTCCACCCACCCCACTCCAGCAGGAACAATACCTGTCATGAACACCAGGCTCCAGTCACGCTTCGGTGGCTGAAAGTTCCTTGACCCCCAAGAGAGAAACTCAACCAGCAGCAACAAAAGCAGCATAGGCACAGTAGTACATTCAAAAGAACTTCTCCCTTCTTGTAGCCAGAATAACCAGTTTTAGACAACTGTAAACTCTGGCATGAAGGAACCAGTCAAACAACTATGAAGTCTAAATTCTTGCCATCAATAAAACAGAAAAAACAACAGCATAAATCACCCCATCATTTAATAAGCATATTTTAAAGTAGAATGGAAAAGGCACTAATAAAACAATCCAAGTAAAGAAACAAGGCTAAGTCAATAAAGAAGGAAGCATAAAAGGACGGAGGGTTTTTCCAACATCCTTTTACCTCATAACTCTATGCCTTTTGTCTGTATCATGTATTTGTTCAGGCTCTGATCCAGCAATTTGTGCCTATGATCAAATTACTTTCTCATGTGGTGCTTACTGAAGGTAACAAAAATCGAAATATCAGAGCCACCAACCAAATTACTTGGGATAGGATCCATTTCATATCTGTAAAGCGCCTAGCACATCTGGACACTATATAAATAAAACAAAAAAGTTCATACATTGTCATACCAAGAGATCTGGCTCCCACTAGCATACAACACAGCTGTATAGTATGGGTTTGTAAAATTCTTGTAAGTAACAAGACACATGCAGGAATGGCAACATACACATTTATACAATGTGTACAAATACATTTAACATTGATCATGCAGTTTCTGCTTAGTGATGCATCTTTGAAAGCAAAGCATGTTACTGTGCTATTACAGTATAATAATGTAATATATGCACCCAGCTGTGCAAAACAAGTCTCAATCCTCCACTGGGATGCAACAATATAAGCCCTAGCACATCCATTTATATGGCTGCTTAAATTAGTGGGATTCAAAATTAAACATGAATTCAAGGGCTGCAGATCCCAGCGCAAAAAAATCAATAAACCTCACCACTGTGTCTTGTTAGAGCCTCTAAGTGAAATCAAATCACAACAGAAAACTTGCCTATAACAGTAGTCTGGACAATTCAAACTCAAACTATTATTACTAATAAACTTAATTTCAAACATATTTTTAACAAACTGACACATGTTCTAAGCAATACAATGTCATAAATAAAAAAATTCACTGATAATTTTCCTTTTATTCCTCCACAATTAAAATATCTGCCTGACATTTTCCTCCCCCCCAGCATACACAAATATTTATACTATAAAAATACCCTTCCACTCTTCTATTTATTTTTTTACACAAAGGAACTGCTTAATATTTTAAGTAACCTTGCTCTACCAGGATGTGGTTCGTAATTTGATTTTTGAATGCCAGTATTTTCAAATGTTTAATAGCACTTTTATACAACATCATAAACTTAAACACTGCTTCTAAAACACACCTGATGTTGTATCTTTATGCATATGCTGAAAGCCTACACTTACAATTTAGTAAATGTATAAATCATCCATGGATTATGAAATTTATTCTGACAGTTAAAGACACGACAATTTAGGCCCAAAGTACTCCTATATATATTCCTAAGATAAAATGAGAATTGATCCTACTTCAAGTTATGGATTTAGCATTTTTATTTCTGTGCAATACAATTTCACAATCTTTGCCTGGTACTACTGCCTTTTCCTCAAATGCAAAGGTCCCACTGAAAGTTCAGGCTTCTCATTTGGTAACCAGGTTTCACCCTGGTGCATCACTCAGAATTAATGTTTCTTTTGAAGTCTGTGGGTGTAGCCGGCTGCCAGAGCCGAAATTCAGAAGCTGAAAGCATGGTTAAGTTATGTGCTTGCTACCTCCATTCATCTGGAACTACGTTATTTTTTTATTTAGTCACCATGGCAACCCCAAATTTAGCTCTTATCTAGATAGCCTTGTTGTCAGACAGAGAAGCTGTCTCAAAATAGTTATGCCAAAAAATAAGCTGATATATTTCCCTTAATTTCTTCATTTTGTGTCTAGGCAGATTGACAAGCTCAATAAGGTGACTCGCATCTAAGTGAAAAGTCTGCTGCTTTCTCTTAAGCCTCTATTTCAACACACCCAAGTCTTCAGGACAAAAATCCCTTTATGCACTTATTGTAGATTAATTCAGCATACAACATACTGGTTCTACATAAAACATCTGGCTCAGCTTCCCTTAAGTATATCACATGGAAGACTCCAACAAACCTCAAAAAGACTAGCTGTAAGTTCTTCCAATTCCTGTCCAAGTTGATCTCGCACTTTAGAAAGCCTTTCACATTCTTCATCTTTTAACTTCAGCTCCTATGGAAAATTGAAAGTTATTTATTCTGACTTAGAGTAATAATTTGGCCTTTTAAAGCTAATACCACAAGAGAGGGAATAAAAAAAAAAGGAAATAATCAGAGGAGCATAAAACCTTTGCTACACAAAGCCTTTCAAAATAGTCATCTTAACACTAAAAACAATTAAATTAATGCTATGCATATACAGCTGTTTCCTCCTGCAGTACAGAATTATACCAGGCCAATCTAATGTACACCTAAGCTAAACATCAACATTTCCAAAATACTCTGAAGTAAAAAAAAAACCTTTTTTCCTGGAAGTATAAAAGGCTGTAGCTTCATAAAAAGTAGATCAAATTAATTATTGGGGCAGACAGAACACCAGTTCATCTACCCATTTCTTAAAATATGCTTAAAGGAATCCTTTTTAAAAACAAAAAAAAAATATTTAAAAAAAATCTAAAAGCACTCAGCTCAGGACAATCCGCAATTCTAAATGAATCTTAAAACATATTTTACTATAAATACTGTCTTCCAAATATCTCCTTACAATGTTCCTAAAATCATACTTTAATTATATATCCTTGCCCTTGTTTATGCAGATTTATAAATAAAATTAAAGCAACTTAATGAAATTCAAAATTCATTAACCCACTAAAATTTAAGTGAACGTCTGACCATAACCATTCTTACAGTAAGATTTTAACAAGATTTGACAGTATAAGGGTTAGATATGCCCAATCTAACCCATACTGAGGATAAAGTGGGGTAATTTGCAGAGAAGTAAAAACAGGCTGACAAGAAATTTGAAAGAAAGTTTTTCTCCCCTTCTGCATCCATTAAACCCTGGAATCTCTTGCAGAAAGAGAAGGATGTAGAGATAAAGTAAAAGAAAGAAAAGTAGCCAATTCTGACCTTTCAAACTTTTTTTGGCCCTAGCTCCCTTCTCATCCCCATCCATCTCCTCTTTTTCCTCTTCCCCCTGTCAAGAAAGGTATTACACTGCCATCATTCCCGAAATGCAAGACCAAAGACTGTCACTAGCAGGTTAAATATTTCAAATACAATCTAGCAATTATTTGCTCTGAAAACCTTCACAAGCCAGTAAAAATAGCTATCTTCAGAAAATTGCAGGAGGCCAGTTACAAGAGTCATAAAAAAGGCCCAAACGACAGGTTTTCTTGTGATTTTGGAAGAGGGTTAGTATTTCTTCCAAAGTCTCCATGACTGAAGTAATGTTGCATACAACTACATAGGAAAATCCATTCTGCCTTGCAGCATGCTGGTATTAGGTCTTGCTCTCAATTTCAGCAATGAAATTGGCAACAGATTTTTCTAAGGTGAAGAGTCCTGTTTGACTTCAGCTCCTAGGCTGAAGGACAAGAGGTTAGGGACTCCTCTGGAATCATTTAGTATCAAAGGCATTATTCTATCCTTTTTTATTTGGTTTTAATTTTGAACATTTTGATTGATTTTTAGTGTAGTTTGTTTGTCATTTGGGTTTTTTTGCTTTCTATTATGTAACTGTTTTGTGAGCTACCACTTCAAAAAATGATAGATTTTTCCAAACACAGTATTTCTCAAATTCTATTCAAATCTTACTTGCTAGCTACTATTCTGCACACAGTGACCTATCTCTTTCTCAAAAAAAACCCCCAAAAAGGCAGCAGGAAAGAAGCTACAGATGAAGGCACGAGAATGAAAAAGGAATACAAAAAACTAAACACTAAAGAGTAAAAAAAAGGTTATAAAAAGAAAGGGGGAAAAATGTAATTATTTTGTGTTGGTTTAAAGTTATTTCCCATACAAAGTATGGTTCTTAATCAGAAAATGGACAATTCTGATGCAAAATGCTTAAAGCTCAAAAAAGAGTTGAAACACTTTCTATAAATGCAGAGGAAACATCAACATTTCCTTTGGCTTACTTCCCCGATTTATAAGGACAATGCTACATATGCATCAATACGTCTTAAAAGAAGATTGTATCAATATATTCAGGTCAAGAGTTGTCAAACTAACAGTGCAAGTAAAACTACCCCACGTTCACCTCCCACTACCAATACACTGCTTACATAGAACAGTTACATTTTGCCTGCAACTGAAAACATTAGGAGAGGTTACATTAAAATTTAGGTAGATGAGTAAAGTTTCTTAATGAAAACAAAAAGACAACACCAGGCAGTCTACTACTCATGGCTGCTTAGCTGGATTTGTCAAACATTAGGCAAATTTCCATTACATGATTCAGGAGAAGCATAATACAAGACATTATTTTTGCCAAGCAAATTTAAGCTCAGGTTTTTTAGGCAGGGCAAAAATGAAGAGTGCCCAAAGCAAAAAGCTCAGCAGTTATTAGAAACACTACTACTGCCTGTGACTTAAAGGCATTACTGGAGACTTCCCAGCCTGACCCAATAAGGAAGCAGAAAAGACAACTGTGTGTGCTAAACTAACCATTCATGCTGCAGTCCTTTACACATTACTGCTCTGAAAAAGTAACTACATGAAGATGAGGAACTATTACAAAGCACACTACAAACACACTTACAGAAGGCAAGAACAAAAATTAACTTGCATGGGGAAAAAAAATTTACAGTTAAAAAAAAGTCTATATCAAAGGGTCATATAGTTGTTTATTTCTCTTTCATCTTCTCAGACTACAGGGTGGGTATTTAAAAAGAACCATGAGATTAGAATTGCAAATTACTGCTTCAAAACCATTCACACTTTACATTCGAGGAAGAAAATCATCCTACATCTAACTCAGCAATTTAACCAAGTCAGAACTAGACGCAAAACACCAAGGAAACAACATTTTCTACAGGTATCACCTAAATTCTGAACTGCGGGACACTGCTGAATTCTGAAGTTGTCAAAGAAGAATTTACATTAAATGCACTCCTATTTGACTGGTCTTTACTCAGCACACAAGTTAAACAAGCTACATAAAAATCAGTCCTTTGCAACCAGATTCAGGAGGGAGTGATCTGATGTGACAGAAGATGCAGAATCTCATTTCAAAGCTAGCAGCATTTCACAAACTATTGAATTATCTTATGGTGTGGGTGAAGATGTTTCTATTTTGCTTTCATGCAGTCTTCTTTCTACTCGCCTGAGAAAATTTCTCTGCCTACAATGCACTGTGACAGCGTAAGAGGTGTGGAAACTTTCATCAAATACAGCCAGGAGCTGCTAAAACACCTTCAGAGAACCAATGCATCTTAACCATCACAAGCCTGTGGCCTTACACTTCAACTGTAATTTGATTTTAAAAGAGATTGAAAGGATACACTTCAGTACAGTTCTAATGCACCTTCATTTTTACTGTTAACTTACAAGAAAATAACAGAAATTTTAAAATGCTGAATAGTACTGTATAGTACCATTGGAAATCCTGGGTAGTTATTGTGAACCTGTTTATTGATTAATCCATGCAGAATTTTAAAATATGTTTCATTACAGATCTGAAGATATGAGATCCAATTGTAACAACTCAATTTGTTTCTGAGATGAAAAATTTATTGAAGAAATTGAAGTCTTTGAAAGAAAATTCTAATTCTGAGAATCAGGCTCTCAAACTACATTGAAATTGACAGTACATTCTATACTATCATCTCTTTCACAGGAATTACTGTATCAGGGGAAAACAAATCAATTTTACTCTACTAGGAAAATATTTTACATTTTACCTCAGAAAGTCAAACGTGATTTTACTTGTTACTAATACCCAAACAGATCTTACTCTAAAAGACCGTAGGAAACATGGAAATCAAACATGTTGTTACAATCATCTCTGGCAGACTGCTCTTTCCTCATCAAACAGGGCTAAAACATCAGTTTGTTTGACAAGGAAATAGCTTTGGGTCAAATCACACAAAAATTCAAGAAAAACATAACTATGAAATGCTACAGCTCAGAAACTACAGTTAAGCTATCCAAAGCATATGCAGTATGCTGATTAACTCAGATGAAAAGGTATTCCCTTACAAGGACTCATCTAAATTTGTGTATCAAGAAATACCATGTATCAAAATACCATCACCTGTCTACACGTGGTTGACCTATGGTCAATAACCACAGTTACAGAGATCAATCCAAACATGGCAGAGAAAATAAAAATGCATAGAGACATGAGGACATAAGGTCCCAGGCATCACAATCACTAAGTCTTTTAACACCTTCTCATCTTCCCTGATGCTACTTTAGACAATTAGTGAAACAAGAATGATTCATATGATCTAAAGCAAACACTACTCATCTCCACCTTTAGAATACAGCCAGAAATTATGACTTTAGTGAACATGTAAGCAAAAAATTATCTGAATGGTCTCAAAGATTGAAAAAAATCTGTCATTTTAATTAAGAGAGCATTTTAAGCCAAAAATATGTAAAATTGTATATGGCCCATTAGTACAGAATTCAGCACTGCTGTTAACCTCTGACCCAACCTTCCTCCCAATCTTATGACATGATTTGATACTGCAACTGATCTAGGCTGAAGTAGAAAGTGTGTTTTTCTCTCATCAAGACACAAGATTTTGAAAGACTTTGTTAACAATCTTGTGAACAACACTGTTCATTTTAAGAAGCCTACAGTCTTAAGAAATCCAAGGCACACACAAAGTAGGAAAAAAATACTTATTCTATTACTGAATAATTTATTCAGGAACCATATTGAAATGTCTAACATTCACATGGCATACATACATAATCTGATACAAAAAAAACCTTTTAGGAAAAAGTTACACTCCAAGCAAAGTGAAAAAAAAAAACTGATGGGTCCCTAAACTTCACATTTATTTTTCCTTTCTAGCTCCCTTTCTGACCACAACTGCAACAAATTCAAAACAATCTTAAATGTATAGTACAAGAGCACACAGTTTGAGTAGGAAATTTGGAACAAATGAAAAATGCAAAATAGCAAATTTGCATTTACTTTGTTCACTCTCTGTAGCCTGTAAAGTTTCCAGGCTCAATAAGCTCACTAAATTCAAGTGCAAATTGTAATTTTCATTTTTCTCACTAGTAAACAGAATAGAGAATTTAAAGTCAGTACACAAAAGACAACCAGTTACACAAAGACACTACCTATTCATTACATCCCTAAAGGGCTTGAACTGAGTACTTATCAACAGAAGTGAATATGCTTGAAAACAGAAGTTTAAAGGTTGCATGACATATAAATATCACAGAGAGGATACAGCACTATGGGAATAGCCATGAGTTTTGGAAGAAAGATACCAGAGATGAGTTAAGGATAGGCAAAACTAGCTCTCATGCAGGAAGAGGAAGAAAGCGGGTATAATGGAAGGAATAAGTTTATTGTTGTAGAGTCTGTACAGACCCCTGCCACGACTAAGCAATTATGAAACAGTGCAAGTTTAGAAAGAAAGCACAGCAAGTTACCTCTGCAGTATAACACTGGTAAGAATCACATGAAGAGTTGAGAATTAGCAACAGCTCTGACATCAGTCTCAAGTTAGTGATGAATTGCTTTTAAGACCACACAAAGAGTTTGAAAACATATAACATGCAGTTAAGTATGTCCTAGCAGCCTTCATGTAATTTCCTTAAGAACAGCCTTAACAAATTCCAGAGTGAAATAGGAAACATTTCAATCTTTAAGAGACAAAGTGATATACATTGGAATAAGATTTTTAGATCATTCCAAGTTATCAGTAGCAGATCCAAGTTGTGGTTTTCAAGTACATGAGCTGTCATTTGGTATACTGTAAAGAAGAGCTTTTCTAAAGTTTGGATGTTAATTTGTTCTTATTTTCTGGGGTTCCAAGTTTAACTGCTAGGATTATATCTTCACATGCAAAGTCCTCAAGTTTAGCTCAAGTTAATGTTTTCTTTCAGTGGTCAAAAGCTAAGCAAACACACACATTAGCAAAGGAAGCCACTACTCAGCAGTAAAACAATCAACAGAAAAAGCAATGTCTGAATCCGTAGTAAGGGTTCATACGACAATAATGGTGACTGCATCCAACAAGAGAAGGTAACAAACAGAGGGTAGCGAGTTCAAACACAAGATGAGCTTAAACCTGAACAAGAATGGAATCACCTAGAGGAGAAGAAAGGGCACAGATACAAATAGCACAAAATCGACTCCAAAACTTAAGCACAGAGAAATATTAAAATGATAAATAATGGTTTTGCATTTATATAGCACCATCCATCCAAACAAGACAAAGCGCTTTACAAATATTAATGACTTGAGACACAGTGTCTTCAAAGGTATCCATATTCAATTTGAAGTGTGGTGTAACAGTACTCTAAAGAACACCAGAGAGATTTTTACTGCTTCTTTCCTATGCAGGCATTCCCCTATGAAACACTCCTGTTTCTAAAGCATTTATAAGTTCCATGACACATGCTACACTTTTAAACTCCAAAGGAAAGAAGACTCTAAAGGTATATAATCAGTTTATAGAAATACTTATTCGGTAACAACAGAACAACAGAAAATTACTCCTATTCTCAAATGTCAGAATGAAGGAAAGCCTACATTTCAAAAAGCAAGTGTGTTTAATAAGATATAACAGCAAAAGCTTCCATGGTTAAGTAGCAGCAGCAGCCCTAGAAAATAAACAATATCAAAGAATAATTCTAAGACACCAGCATTGCATTTAGAAGATTTTACATTAAATAATTACATCATAATAAATCTACAATAAATGAGCAGAATTCAAGTGCACCTTCTAGCCCATCTATCATTCTGCAGTATTAGAAACACTTTCAAGAGAGAAAAAGAGGGAGAAAACAAGACAACGAACCTTACCCTCTGAGCTTTTGCAAGTTCTTCTTTCAATCGTTCATAGCCCTTTTCTCTTACTTCCAGTACAGATGGGCTCCGTAAGTGAGATAAACTGTCTGTACTCAACCCAAAAATATCTTCATTTCCTTCAGCAACATCTGCTACTGTAGTACCCTGCAAAAGCTCCCTCTCTACGTTATTGCTCTCCTTCCTGGCATTACTGTGATTGAATGACCCACTCTGGGGTCCAGAGGTAGAACAATGTACTGCGTCGGTAACATTGATGCTGTAAAGAAAGCAATATAATTTTTATTTATATAATACATTAAAAATAAGTATTTTAGAAATGGCAATAGTGATGTTGAATATATAATTATGGACACAATTTAATATTACAACATTGCAAATAATATTAAAATTGTATCTTTAATGAAGCAAATAATTTCTATGCAATAAATATCAACAATTTAAATAAAAAGACACATAGCATTTACCTGACACCTGATACTTCTCCACAATTCAGTTGTCTGGGAGATGAATAAACAGGTTGTGTAGGAAGGTCAGAAACATTTAATGCATTGGGTTGGATTGGTGTGGACACAACAGAAGGATGTGGTCGGTAGATTACACTGGGTGAGGTAGTTTGTTCCTGAGTCCGTGGCTCATTTACTCCAAGAAGGTCTGGTGTAGTAGGCGAAGCGAGGTTCACTTCATGAAAGCCTTCCAAGGGGTCACTGGCCATAATAAAAGCCTCATTATATGAATTCCCTAAATGAAATAATCACATTATCAGAAAGTAAACAGGAAATACTTAAATATATCTGACAGCTATTTGAATTTAAAAAGCACTCAAATGTTCAGAGTACTTCATGATAGAATGGAACAGACTCTGCATCTAAACGGGATGATGAAATCAAGAACAAACTCTACATCATAAAACAATGTATTTTTTAATATCATCTAGAGCTGTTTCATAACAAAATAAATATATTTCATTCATGAAAATGGGGTAGACCAGGGAATAAGTGAAGAAAAAAAATTTCTAATCATAAAACTTCCACTTTTCATCTCAATGAAACAAACAATCTAGGACAGAAATCAGTGAACCTTTAAATAAATTACAGTCCATAGTGGTTTTGGTTAAATTACTCATCTGATCTTTTAACAGTTAACTGAAATGACAGACTTAGCCAATAAGATCTCTCATGAAGAATGATGGTATATATTTAACACATCACATGATCAAGTGAATGTGACGGCTGTGAAAAAGTATACCGAAAATGTATTATAGATAAGAAAGTACTAAGAATTGGCAATTTAACTGACAATCTTTCAATTTATTTCTTAATTACATATGCTTTTCATAAGATCAACAGAAAACATATACAACACATGACTTTTACAAGTCCTACTTTTCAGCAGTTTATCAGAGATGACAAAAATCTTTGCATAATTCAAAACCGTATGTTGGAAGTAGTATGAAGAAATTTTTGAAGGAATTACTTAGCACTGATTATTCACTGCAAAAACAAAACAAAACCCTTTTCCACCTTACATAAATACAGAAGAGAGGAAAGGCTCAAAAGGATACTTAATGTGCAAAAAAATATCTAAAGAAAAGAAAACATGGTATTTTACAGAGAAAGTTGCTTGGATCCTACACTTGAAGAGACATGGCAGGGAGAACATCTAGAAAGATGATGGTCATAACTGTGAGGAGAGGATGCCATCAGCTTACATGTACATCCACTTCATTAGCTACATCACAAAACACACAGGAAGACATCGAGAACAGAATCCCAAAATTTAACCAGAGCATTACTTCATATGTAATTAAGACTTTCTGGTCACCTTAAACTCAAAGAACACTATTCAAAACTGTACTGCATCTCAAGGATTGCAGCATGTATACACCAGTGCGAAACAAGGAGCTTTGCCACATCAGCAGGTACATGTGGGAGAAATTCAGCCATTCAAGCTGAAGACTATGTTCATTGCTAAAAAAGTGAAAGGAAAAAGAAAGAAAAGAAAAAAAAATTCACCTCCCTCTAAAAACTGCCCAGACTTACTTAAGGGACAAAAACGAACATTTTTATTTCAGGTTCCTTTTCTGCAGAAAATTTTGCACAGAAATGTGTTTTATTGTGAACTATCAAGAGCAGTTACACAAATATGATTTTCAAAGAAAAACACTCTCACAGTTTTGGGCTTTGAAGCTTTTCTATAACACAGATGAAAAGCTTATTTTTGAGTTTAAGTAAATTTGGCAAGTACTGCTGTTTGTTTTCCCTACAGTTCTTAACTATTAGAAGCCTTATAATTAGATGCTCTACATGATGATAAAGCCTGTTAAGTAGACAAATTAAAATGAAGGAACTGATACAGCTACAGGACATCTCTTCAAAGTTTAATTTCAAGAATGTTTTCGGCTCTACAAGGTAATTATTACAAATTGTTTTACAGTTAATAAGCTAAAATACTGCCATCTTTATAGTTCATCACCCCACCTGAAATATATCCATGTCATAGATCTGTCAGGGTCACATCTACACAAACACTTTCCCTTTCTTTGTTCCCACCACTCTCCTCTTCTTTGACCACCAAGCCAGCCATACCCAACACCACCCTAACTGGCAACATCACCAACCTGTCTCTTACAATTCCCAATTCTTTGGATTCCAGTCTTCACAACTAACAAAAGACACAGGCTCTGAACATGGATGCAGAAGGAACTGCCTGGATGCCTTGCCTTTTCTACAGCACCTAGAAAGTGCATCCAAATCCACACAACACAAGCAGAAATTGAGACCCACCTGAGACCAAAACAGGAACATGCTTCTGCCACATACTCCTTGCTGTTGACTAGCTTCTATTAGAAGTTTGAAAGATGCTTTGCGAGTCACTCTTAAAACACACAGTCTTCCTTGATATTCAGCAGACATATCATGGAACTTCACATCACCTGTACCACTGACTGTTTAAAGTTGCACACTCTGCTGGGCTGAACTTTGCTATGCAAGATTTTTTTCAAAAAACTGTTCTTTAAAAAAATACAACCTAGCCTTTTCCAAGAATAAAAAAAGCTCAAGAAAAGCTTCTTCGTTGTTTTTAAATTTATTTTACTATTTCTGTACAAATTTTAGGGCTCTCTGTTTGGAGCAACTACTTTAAGTACACAGAGTAAGCAACAGGTTAAAAGATGCACCATTTCATATATTTGTGATAATACACACAAATTCGTCTACATTCTGAAGCCCAGAAGGCCATGCTGGCTCACTTAGAGGAAAAAAAAATTGAAAGCCTACTTATTATTTTTCAAATGTTCAAATGCATTTCTAGCTGTCCCTCTGGACCATCACATCAAATCAATTTACCCTATCAAAATAGTATGTTCAGGGGACGGATGGGAGGAATCTATCCTACCTACATGGTCCAACTCCTTTGAGAAATGTTCCACTTAACTCTTTTCTACAGCTTTTCCACTAACCTGGCTATATCATGCAGTATTTTTAACAGTAACAAAAAAGAAAGAGTCCAAACCAAAAAGATTAGGGTATTTACAAGACTATCACTCTGCTTATACATTAAATATTGACCTCAGCCTAAACAGTAAATAGATCCATAGGTAACTTCTCAGCTATCAAAAAACAAGTGCTCTCTGATACAGGTAGTAAAAAAGTTTAAAAAGTTATTCACGTTATTCCTGGAAGAGCTGAAAATAAAGTCCCTCAGCTATATTTTTCCCATAGCCTGTCAAATGGGCACTCATAAGCAAACCATCTGTGTAAAACACTTTCCATTCACAACTTTTTTCTTTCCTTAGATTACTTCTCACTAGGCAGTGAGCAGGCACAAGCTGGGTACACCACCCAGAAAAGACAAAGAAGTCATATCTCAGTTTCAAGACTCACCAACACCACTATGAAGACACATTACACATGGATGAAACCAAACATATATGCAAAAAGCCAGGTGGTTGTAAAATTACAAGCTCTCTTTTGGGAAAGAACTCTTCAAAGTAACGATAACCAAAAGGAGGAGGACAAAAAATGCACATTAAATTTCAGTGTCATTAAAGATTAGAGGCTTCCTTAAGGCTTGCAGGAAGGATTCATATTATTGACTAAGGCAGCATTGCACAGCCTTGCTGTGAAGGAACATGAAGCAAATGGTAAGCAGAGCTTCACTAGGAGCCAAGCTGACTGTGTGCAAAAAACCACACACTGTTGACACAGCACTCTTTAGTAGTAATTCTGCTACTGTGAACAAAAGCTGATATTCTAATATTTCAGGACAGCACATATGTTACATAAAATAATTAATTTTCTTAGTAATTTTTCTACCACATTAATATAAGGTGAAAGCTTGGAATTATTGTGATTATTTTTGTCTTGGTTGATACTGTGCAATTAGTACCACATAAAAAAATGTCAAGTACTATAATAAACCAGAATGAAACAATAAAATAAATAATTTCCTTATGCTTTCAACTGGAAACAATGCAAATTTGGAGGAAGCTGACAGAAGGTTACTTTTTATTACCTCTTTGCTGCCACACCTGCAGCGCTGACAAACCACAACTTCATGAGAAAACTATGCTCAAATCTGTTGTTTGCACTAACAGTAAACTAAAATGTACTATAAAGAAACCAGTTTAACAACAACTGGTTTAACACTTCCTAAAGCTTCTAACAGAAATCGAGAACCACAAACGTTTTTAATAGCAGTCAAATCAAAGTGTTTAACCTAATTTTTCTGTTATAACTCTAAGAGGGGTTTAGCTACTTGTCTGAATCACAGCACTCAATAACTAAATACTAAAAAGCTCCCCGAAATGCAGTATTTATTGTGGTTTGTTTCCTTTAAAAAAAAAAACAAAAACAAATCGTTGAAAACCACCTACTACAGCCTCTAGAGTTTGCCTTTCACAGATTAGACACTTTGAAGATGACAACTCTTAACAATGTCCTGACTGCTATAGTCCATTTAAAAGCAATGCCAACACGAAACACTTCACACATCATTAATTTCATTTTTAGCTTTAATAATAAAATAGTACAATCACAATAGAATGGCTACCTGCTTGAGTAGGAAGAAAAAAAAATCCCCTAAGGAAGAGAGTTAACACCTCTGAACATTTTTGCCAAGAGCAAATTCTAGCTGGCATTTAGCAAAAGAACGTGCCCATTAGCCACTGTGATTTAATCTCCATACAGCAGGCCTTTTAATATGTAACTGAGTCTCAAAGACTTCATTTATTAGACTCCAACATCTGCTTTAGTTCATTTGGGAGGGGTCTGGAAAGTGGCTTTTTCCTCAAAACGACTGCCATTAGCCCACCACTGGGCCTGCATTCTTCTCAGTCGGTTTAGGGGAAAAAACAAAAAAAGCGAAATATTTGGCATTATAGAGCCTGGAATATAGTATGTTTTAAACTCTAAAGAACTCAGTAGGGAATTAAAAACAGTGGAGTAATGTATACCTTTTAAAGAAGCAGTTCAACTAAGTACTGCTACTTCAAACCTATCAGATGCAAAATTTAAATTGTTGTAAGGCATATATGGGCAACAATTTCAAGTTCAAAACTGATTCAATTACATCCATCCAGTATAAGATATTCATGAGATGTAGGCACACGACAAAGTTTGGTAGCTTTTCTTCCTAAACTGTTTTATATTTAAGCTTAGCCAGAGATTTCAAGCAAGTTTAAATACCATTATCAATGTCAGTTGATTGCATGAACACAATTCAAGATTTGACATAGGAATTCTTTTAAGATTTGCAAAAAATAATCCCCAGTCCTAAAATATTGCAAATGTGATACAAATTTCTGTTCCAGGAACCCGAAACAAAACTTCCTTTATTTTTTTTCTTTGAGCCCGTAAGGTATGAGAGAAAAGAAAGCACTGGACTTCTCCAATCCTTACACATTCTACTTTTATTTTCCAGTGACCTCACACCATGTATTTACCAACACATGATATATTAGGCAAGACAATAAATGGAAGGTAAGTTTTAAGTTCAGCAAGTCTACAGAATTTAACAGCTAGCAGAAACATACTTGTTCTAATGTGAGAATATTTTTCTACTGCATTCCATCTAGTGTTGTCATGTAACACTATGATGTGGGTCTATTTTTACTCTCACTTTATGCACTGAAAACACCATTTTGCACAGTTTACTTGATAGCAGGATTTTATGAAGTTAATTTTTGTTTTGATGAACTGATGAGAAAAAAAAAGTCTCTTTTAAAAACTTTATTATAGGTGTATCTTCAACTAGAAAAATATAGGTACAGACAGCAAGTAAGCATCTCTCTTACAGAAACAAGCAGCACATGACCTATATTTATGAAGTGCTTGTGAAGCTTATAAATAAACATGGTTTAGAGTCTGGTAGATAGTACACCTCTTACTACAGTGAAAAGTCAGTACTTTGCAAAGGCAAAGAATACTGCAAACTTCACTGTAAACAAACATTCAAAGAATGCTGTTCTGTCCACAAAGACTCTCCAACCAAGTTAATTAAACTGAAAATATGATTCTCTTTGCAGTTGCTGTTCTTTTTAAAGCAGAGCACTGTTCTGCCTTATCTTGTACACAATTTCACAAGCCCATCTCAGGTTTAAACCTGACCACAATGACAGTAGTGTCATTCTTGCCAAGACTTGGACCTAAGGACCCTCTCGTTTTCAGTTTACACTGAAAATATTCAGTAAGTAAACTTAAATTTCAGTAAAATTGCCATTAATTTCCGGACATTGTATCTGCAAATACATTTAAAGAAATAATTTCTTAATTTATTAAAAAAAAATTAGCGTATTAGTGCTAATAATGTCTCTAACAGAAGTCTTGACAGGTTACAATAAGACAGTATTTTACATGCCATATTAAAAAGGGTCTTAAAAATAAAAATCCAAAGTGCACATCTCTTTTCTGAGAAAATCCATAAACCTAAGTGGAACAGTGAGTGACTATCTCATTTCGTATTTTACATGAATTTTTAAACCAAGTCAATAAAAGCTATGAAGATAGCTGCAGTCTATAATCAAAATGCTTCTTGTGACTATTCTGTTCTCCTACAGAAAAAAAATTCCCCTTTTAAATATAGCATAACAAGATGGATATTCCAGTCGCAGCTGTGAGGTGCACTCCCATTTGTTATTTATTAAAAGCATAATGAGAACAGTAAATTATTTATCCTTCTTTGCTCACTAGGTAACATTAACCAAGCACAACGGATGAACGACTGCCAAGAGACAAACACAGAAGGCCAGAGTTTAACCCTTCCAAAAACTCATTAAACAGATCTATAATAGAAACAACAATAAAAATATTAAAGCAACAAGATTTCAGGTTTTGCCCTATAGAGAGGAATACAAATATTTGAACAGATGGTAGCTGCCAATACATACTTCTAGCCTGAATAACCTTACATCTGCTTCAAAAGAGAAGCTGATAATTTCGGTTACAGCAAGTCTGTAGAAGATTAATTATTTTATCAATCTAGATAACTTTTTTTGAGACTTCCTAAGAACACGCTTAAAAATGAACACAGCAAACAAACCAAGCAACATAAAACTTAGTACATTACCTGCAAACAAAACAGACAATACTTTCAAACTCATGAACACTGCAGCTTTTTGTCAGCAAGACAAACTCTCAGGGTACCATTAAGGCTTTGGTCATTTTTTGTGTTCTCCTACTTCCAAAGCCCTGCGACTTTCGGGGAATTAGTGGAGCATCAGCTCCCTGGCAGCACAAATTTCTGCATAGCCCATCGCCTGAAATCAGCCTGTAAACAAAATTTACTTCCTGAGCCTTACTGTCCAAGGTAATTACATCAGAAATTAGGACTAAGCTACTTAACTACTTCAGCTTAAAAGACCACTTGCCGGCGACTAAGTATGACCCTCAATATTGCCCGACAGACCATAGAGGAACCACAAACGCTCCAGACGAGCGCAGCCCCACTGTCCCACAGCGCAGAACGCCACTCCGGTCCCTGCCCAGGCTGCTCTGACGACCTTCGAGGGATGTGAAATCTGCGAACCCCACGAACGGCCCTGCCCCGCACCTGCCGCCCCGCCGGCCGGGAGCTCTGTGAGCTCTGTGAGCGGAGGCGAAGCGTTCAGCACCAGCTCAGCTTTCTCTCGCATCCCTCCTCTCCTCGTCTCGGTCACCGCCGGGCCGCCCTTCCCCTCGGGCCCCGCACAGGCACTACATGTGGAGCACGGCAGCTGCTCCGACCCGCCGGCCCCGGGATGCGATGGCTCTTTGTCCGCCAACGCTGCCTCCTCCGCGGCAGGTGCTCCCGGCACTTCTTGGGGTGATCCCCGAGAACTACTTTTACCCAGTTTTGCTTTCGACCGCGGCTGGACTCGGGGACAAGCGCATCCCTGCCGCCGACTGCCCTTCCGTGCCCACGCAAGCCCCGACGGATCCGGGGACGCGCCCCCGCCGCAGACGGGCACAGCGGCACGACCCGGGCTGTCACCTGTCCCCACGTTCTTCCGGGTAGGGACCCACAGCCGCCACAGCCATCCCGCGCCCGGTGACGGCGCCCCGGCTAGGGGCAGCGCTCCCCGGCGGCGCCTGCTCCGCCCGCCTGGGCACAGGCTCCCGGAGACGCGTCGGCGAGCAGGTGCAGCAGCACTAGCGGGGAGCCACAGCCCGGGCAGCCACCCCACGTTCCCGCTGGCGGAGCCGAGGCCGGTACCGCGCCGCCCCCGCCGCACGTACCTGCCGAGCCTCGAGAGAGGAGCGGCCGCCGCCTTCGCCGCGTCCCCTCAGCCGACCTGCGGGGCCGGGCCGCGCATGCGCGGCGCAGAGCAGCGCCCGCAGCGGGGTGGGGGGGGCAGGTGTGCGCGGCCCCGCCACCGCCCCCTAGCGGCGGGGCGGGGGTGACCTCCATGAGGGGAGCGGGGCAGGGCCGGAGAAGGCGCCGGGCCCGAGGGTGAAAAAACTGAAACTTTGCAACACTGCAACACTGCTTCTGTTCTAGGGCGATCCGGGACTGGGCTGCTAAACCCTGAGTGCTTTGTGGCCGCGAAAAACACAAGGAAGTTAATAATTCTGTGTTTAATGGTATGTGGTAACAAAGGCATGGGATTGCACAGTTGAAAATTAAAAATATGCCAGGTGGTTATCCAGCAATTTTCGTTCATGGGGCATGCACCGCTCCAAATCAGTTTTCAAGCCTCCCTGATGTATTTATAATTTCATAATTAAAGACTGAACCATACATACAGAATTTCTGAAATGAGGCCACACATAGAGCTATAAAAGGACTCACTTGCTAAGGAGAGGTGTTTTTCCAGCTCCAGTGGTTTGATAAAGAGTGATTACTACTATGTCTCATCTGGGCTTGCCCTCAGCCATCCCCGTTGCCACCCTGACACAAGCATGGTACTTAGTGCACTTCAAGTCCTGGTCTGTACTGTTCTGTGTGTCCTATGTCTTTAAAGGTGGTAGGCAAAATGTTATAAAGCTGCTATAAATGAGACTTCGTTTCACCACTGCTCTGACTACAGTGCCAAAAAATATGCTCCAAATGACAGCAATATTATCTGGACCGTGTGCTTTCCTTGTTGTTAGTGCAGCTGAACTGAGCCGTGTGCTGCATGGTGAGGAGCTGGAGCAAAAACCTAAGGTAAACAAGACCTTGTCCCATTCATCAGTTAAGGAATCTAGGCCGCATTCCAGTCAATAATTGAAACTTTAATTATCTTGACAGCTTTCCACTGAATGTGAAGGAATCCTGTTTGGCCAGTCCTGCAGGACTTAGCCACAGACAAATAATGTTTTCTGTGGCACATTCCCCATGGCATGCACCAAGCAAAAAGTTAATGGAAGCAAAATAATATGACAAAGATGATGTCAAAAGGCAAATACATCGATGCCATTCCTCATAAAGTAAATACAGTACCTGTGAATACTAATATCTTCCAAATTACTTTCCAGTATGTAAATCTACACTGACTACAGTGGGGCTCAAGAAGAAAAAATGGCTACAGAAAGTCATCATCTATAGCTTTTCTGGAATCAGTCTGAAAACCAAGAAACCAAACTGCAAGAAGTGGAATATTCAAACAGCAGTATAACTTGAAGTTTGTTGTAAAAAAACGCAAAAGAGCAGAGATGTTCAGTATAAGGACCTTGAACTTTAATTTATTTAATTTGCTAATATTGACATGAAATAGAATCCAGGCAGTGCTATCAGAATACAGGTTTGACAAATTAGAAGATACATCAGAAAGTTTATTAAAAATGATTGTAAAAGAGATGACAAGTGGACTCAGAAGTTGAAAACAACCTATTAAGACATAGTAAACCAAGAGTCTATAATTAGGATCTGTAATCCTATAGTTCTTAATCCTGTACAATGACTGTACTTGGTATGACAGTCTGCTGTCTTAACCAGATTAGACATCTTGCATTTCAAGAAATAAAAGCAATGCAATTCCAAAGACATTTGACTGCTAAAATTAATCACCAACAGATTTATTTTGTCAAAGTACTCCTGTGTTTTGCTGTGTATAATACTTTAAAGAGTCAGGCAGCAACAAATCACAGAAAGCATAATTTACATTATTAAAATTAAAAGCTAAAATAAATTGAATAAATAAATTGAATTAAATCCAGAGTCATAAATAAAAGAAGGAGTAGTTTGCGTGGGGCTGGGGGAAAAGAAAAAGATATTTTAAAAGAGTATTTTTATCCAGCCCTTTGCTCCTTATTGAGCTGCACATCAGTCTCAGGGCAGAGGTACTCCTCCAGGCATCATGAACTGAGAGCCAAGGTCACCAATGAGGGCACAGCCAAGGGCAGGGCCAGGTGGCAATAGCAACGAGCTTTGCCACCCACCAGTGACCATCACCCAAGGTGAGATGGTCAAATCAAGTCCAGGATCCATTCCAGAAGTCTTGTCAGGAAGAGCAGGAGGCAATACTGGAGACCTGTATGACCTGTGTGAGGACCTAAACCTGTAATGCTGGTCTGAGGCTCATCCAAGGAAGAATCATCCAAGACAGACTCACATAAGATAGAGTATGGTTTGTCTGTTTGTTTTGAGCTCCCTAGTGTGGTTAAATGCCCCAGAACAGAATTTCCCATTCTCCAGCTAGATAGAACACTGAATAGGTATCTTGCACAGACCTGGCTGGAGCAGTCTATTTACTAAAAACTGAGTCTCACTTGTGTAGCTTCTCTCCAGTCATACTGCTGGAAGGTGTGATAAAAACCAATGCAAACAGTTCCTGCTCTGCACAGAGTCCCCCTGAACTGCTGCTCTATCCGTCAGTGTCTTCTGTCACATTTGAACCATCTGTCTGAGAGACTGTATCTTCAAATGGAGTTGTTTCCTTTCCTAACAGTTACAGTCCACTCAACCTAAGAAACCTGTTTCAGGGAGGAGAAAACAGAAGAGACAAAGCTGTTTCACAGAAGGTAGTCCCAGACCACGGCAGGACTCTCTTTTGAAGGCAAGGATGGCTGAAGGACTATGTAAAAACCAAGAGTATAATTTTTCTTTGATCTGAATGTAGTTAAAGTTTCTCTTCTCTACACAGAAGCACAAATGCCAGCTAATGTAATTTTTCCCCCTACAGGTTGGGAGGAATAAAAGAAAAAGATGATTGTTCTCTTTGTAGATGTTCAAATGTTTAGTAGGGGAGGATGTCCCAACAGTGTCATGGATAAATAAAGCAAAAAAAATTTGAAATGTCACTTTCTACTTGTCTATGGTACTTCTTACTTGCTATTTTATTATTTTTTTTAATATTGAATGAACTGTACTTATTACATCCCTTTTTGTCAAGATGTTATAAAACAATAAACTCAGAAAGTCAAAGGATGAATCTATTAGTAGTAGTCACATATGCATTGAAACCCCATAGTACAGTGGGAAAAAAAACCAAAGAATGATCCACTATATACAAAAAAAGGTACAGAGACTATAAGTCTTATCTATTTTAGAAATTCCCCCCCCCCGCCTTCTACTAGCTCAGCTGAACCAGTGCTAGCAGTATTGGGAACTACAGTTCTCCACTCAGGCATGTTTCTTCAATGTTTAGCTATGCATTTTGAAAGCAAACCAATCAGCACGTTGGCATAAATAATCTTCCAGCTTATTGGAGCCCTAAAACTTACCTCTATGCTGCCCTCCCTGTTTAACTAACAGAATGTTAAAACCAGTGAGGTCTGTGTTATTTTTCAAATCTACCCACTAAAAAAAGGCTCTTGAAGCTCTTTCTCAAAACTTCTACTGGTGAAAGACAAACAGCCCCACTAAGCAGTGTATTCCAGTGCTGAATTAACCTTGGGGTTACAAATATCTTCTAAAGTCTAACCTCATCTCCTATGCTGCAGTGTAGAAGAGGTAATGAGCTTATCTCAGTGGATACAGGAAGCAGCAATCTTCAGGGCATTTGATAGCATCATCTATACTATCAATTTTGTCAAATAATAAAGAATTATTTTAATCTTTCCTGATAGGTAAGGTTTTTAGATCTGCAATTTTTTAAATTGTTCTCTTCGGGTTTCTTCCTGTGGGTGTTTGTCAGAACAGTGCTCAGTTCCAGGCACGGCACTCGAGCTGAAGTCTGACCAGCACTGGCTTTAAGACATCACACATCTGTTTATACATCCCACCAGAGATCCTTTTCTTTTTCTCCTATGGCAGCAGAACACTGCTTAACCAGTCTTTCTCCAGCTTGTGTATGACCTCTCTTGTGAATTTCCTTCTATGTCCATTGATTCTTACTGAATGCTAATCTTCCAAAAAAAAACCAAAAAAGTTTAAGACTTCCTATCTTGCAGATTTGATAAGTGCACTGTCAATTCCATCATCCAAGTCATTAATTAAAATACTACATGTTACCAGATCTAGAATGATCCTCTGAGCTGACATGCTCCTCTTGAAAAATTGACCTTCTAAAACCATGGCTTGAGTGGGGTTGTCATATCTTTCTTGTATTGTTTTTACAGTAGTTTATGCTGGACAACATGCCCCTCACTTTCTTTTGAGATGTCACAGGAGGGAATTTCAAAAGCCTTACCAAACTCTATCTGTATCACATATATTGTTTCTTTCCCATTTGTCCTCAAATGATGTGGTCAAATCAACAAATATGTTGCAGCATCAAAACCTCAAACTGCTTCATAGTCTTCACCTCTGTTATCAATGTTATCACCTCTGTTGTCCATGCACTAAATTAATGTCAGAAACAAGAGCTTTAAATGATTTCTAAAAAGAAAGTGCTCATTAAAGCCCTATATTCATTAATTGAAAGTCAAGGCTTGAATGCTAAAAAATACAAACTTGGCAACTAAATTCCTTTTATACACAGCATGTATCTATATACAACCAGCAGAACTCACTGACAATATTAAAACAATGGTGCATTCTTTAAAGATTAAAAAAAAACCAAAACAACACTGTTTCATAAATACGCAGAACACAGCCTAACAAAGGAAGATAAAAATTAATAAAGAATATCAATTCTTCATTAACTATTAAAATGACAAGGATTAAAAAGAAATTTCCTATTCAAGCATATTAGATTGCAACTGTCCTCTTTGACCATGACTGATTCTGCAAACAAGCTGCCCAACTAGACAAGATTCTGCTGTTGAATATGAAATAAATAATGCCTCTAGATTTTTTTTAGAAGGTGCTTATAAATGTAACAATACTAAGTAGAAGAAACCTAACAATACTAAGTAGGAGAAACATAACAACTGAAATGGGCTTACCAACTTATGTAAGTACTGACATGTGGCTTCATTTATCTT